ATCTATTTATATACTGAGGAAAATCCGAGCATGTCGATAAACAAGGGTGTTGTGGGTGGTTGCCGGGGCGTTGCTGTCAAGGTGTTCTAGGTGGTTGCTAGGTAGCCTGTCACTTGTGTCTCTTTGGTATTCTGGTCCCTGGAAAAGGCTTTTTTTTACTGAATAAAATATGACCGTATCCAGAACTAAGGGGGTGGTTGCCAGGGCATTGCTATATGGTTTCTTGGTGATTGCTAAGGTGTTCTTCATTTCTTTGGTATTCTGGTTCATATTATGTGTTATGTCATATAGCATATGTCATATGCTTTGGTCACTTCTAAAATTCAAATATAGGATAATATATACGTCCAAAAGTAGGGTCTTGTGAGTGGTTGCCATAGTGTTGCTATGGGGTTTCCAGGGTAGCGCTATATGGTTGCTAAGGTGTTCTAGGTGGTTGCTAGGTAGCTTATCACTTGTGTCTCTTTGGTATTCTGGTCCCTGGAAATGGCTTTTTTTACTGAATAAAATGTGACCGTATTCAGAACTAAGGGGGTGGTTGCCAGGGCATTTCTATGTGGTTTCTTGGTGATTGCTAAGGTGTTCTTCATTTCTTTGGTATTCTGGTTCCTATAGTTATGGCTTTGGTCACTTCTAAAATGCAAATATAGGAGTACATAAAAAAAGTAGGGTCTTGTGAGTGGTTGCCATGGTGTTGCTATGGGGTTTCCAGGGTATTGCTATATGGTTGCTATGGTGTTTTAGGTAGTTGCTAGGTGGAGTATGAACCAATTCCAAATCATCTCTTTGTTTTTTTGGTCCCTAAATATTGCTTGGGTAACTTCAATTCAAATATGGTTGTTTCTGGCCATTTTATTATTTTGACAATTAAATTAAATACATTTCATATTTAAATTGATCTTTTATACATACATGCATACCTAAAATGTATTGTTAATTAAAATCATAGTGACCTTGAGAATGTGTTTGCTCTAATTTACAATGATTCTTTTATTATTCAAAATGAATCAGTCTTCTCTGCTTGATGTTCAGACATCTGCAACTAATTGACCTCCTTTCTTTATCTGTGTGGAGTGTCATTTTGTTTTGTCCCTAACTGGGACCAGTTTAGACGTTTGATGTTTCAGGGAGATAATGGATGTTAATGAAACATTCAGTCTTGTAGCCGAACCATTTCATTTTGTTGAAGTATGGTGGCCTTCAAACACCAACTTTCTTGCTGGCTGTTTACAAGAAGCCCTTTATAGAATATTTATAATAATAATAATATGTTTATTTTTTATAGCGCCTTTCAAGAACCCAAGGTCGCTTCACAAAATAATATGAATCCTAAATAATATGAATAGAAGAATCCAAGAGTGTATGAGCCACTCTCATATTGAAGATGACACTGCAGCCCACCAGCACAGATGTCTTGTTTTTTTTTTAAAGAGTTTCAGCCAAAAATGAAAATTCCCTCATCATTTTCTCACCCATATGACTTTCTTTCTTTAGTGGACCACCAGGACTTTGCTCTTTTCCATACAGTGAAAATGAAAGATGGCCTGTGGCAGCGGAGAAGATTATGAGACTTAAATATGTTCCTTACTGAATGACTTCCCAAGACTTACATTATGAATCATAAAGAGTGATCCCCTCATCCCCCTTTTTTCAGCGGTGCTGGTTCCGGAAGCGTTATTTATTTATTTATTTATTCTAAAAATGGGATTTTTTTTTTAAAGTATTTGTTAAAGAGTTGTAATCCATGAACCAAGCCAATGAACTATTAGGTGAATTACAACACTAAAAACTTTGATTTGAAGCTAAAAAGTTCGAAAATCGGACACGAAGACAAAGGTACAAGATTGTATACTTAACGGTTTTAGTGAGGAAAAGAACTACTGTCTCAGCATTGAGCATTGCGAACAGCATATACAGCATAAAAGAATTCAAAATGGAGAATTATAAAAATAATCTTTTATGAACATTGATCAATATGTATAAAAACAATATATTTTAAGTAGGGCTGTGCAAAGATTAACTGGGATTAATCGCAATTAATTTATAATTAAAAAAATTATAAAAGTTTGTGTTTACATAATATATTTGTGTGTGCTGTGTATAATTATTTTGTATATACAAATACACACATGCTTATATATATATACAGTATATTGTTATTTATATCTATATAGATTATGTATATATATATAATAAGTATTTACGTGCAAATAATTCTTAAATATATACATGCATGCATATGTATTTATATATACAAAATAATTATGCACAACACACACACACATATATTATGTAAACACAAACTTTTATTTTGGATGTGATTAATTAATCTTTGCACAGCCATAATAAGTTTAAGTTAGCAAAATATGCAACATATACACACACACACACACACAAACATTTTAGTATTTTGAGAACAGGGAGATCATCTCGGTTACATCATTTGCAGTGCTTAATGGGAGTGGGCGGAGCTAAAGAGCTATTTTAGAACGTGTTGCTTTTTTTTTGCCTCTCTGATTGGTGTAATTTTCTGTACAGCATCATGGGTAATGTAGTTTTTCCACCAAGAATTTTTAAGTACTAAAGATGAGTATTTTAAAAACTAAGCTGAAATAATGCATGCTGGTGGCTTCAGCAGAAGCAAATACCATCGATTAGCAACCTTGTAGCTCACAGTACGTCTGTCTTTTTGACTTGTCATTCAAAATCAGTTTCCTTACAGAGAAAATGAATGTTTTTACATCCGGAACCCAACTAGCGAATCATATTAACACTTGGTCACCATTCACTTTCATGACAATTAGCAGCACGGACATTATGCTAAACAACTACTTGTGCGTTCTGCAAAAGAAAGTACGTTTTGGGACAGCTTGAGAGTGAATAGCAACATAATTTATAGACCCCTTACTTGTATTCTGCAGTGGAAATGAAAGAGAGTCATGGTGATACGCTTGCATGTATTGCACAGATGTTGTATTATTGCTCCTCTCATTGAGTGCTATTTATTTCAAGAAATTTCTCAGCCTGACACAAATATTATGAAAAAAGAAAAGTCAATCCCTTCCCATCTTCTTAAGTATGCTGAAGACAGTCCATAAATTTCTCATGTAGCTTAGAAAATAAAGTGCACAAGTTGCTTTGAACTTGCTTTCCATCGTTGGTCTTTAGGAGCTGTTTATAAAAGCAATGATAAAATGTGCAGTTTCTGCTTTTAATGGATTTATGAATATCACTTTGATTTGTTACATTACTTTCTAATATTGTCTTTTTTAAATGCCAGCCTGTAGTGATGTCTTTATTAGGACTCTGATTTATTGGTCTGTGGGTTTGGAAACAATCTAGGTCAGTTGGTTCCTTAGGGTGTTTCTGAACTGTACAAATCAAGAATATGCTTTTCATGTTCAGTGATTCATACAGAACATGTTCATAGTAAGTAACAAGATCCCCAAGATCATCAATCATTTCTGATCTCGAGTGCTGAAGAAAATCTTTGGAAACAAACAACACAATATTAATGTAGAGTGGCCAAATACTAATATATGATAAAACGTGCGCAATATCATAAGATCACACTCTTTATTTAAAAATGTTCTTTATTAGCATTGTTCCATGAATAAACTTTATCATCGATGGAACCTTGTATTACACAAAAGGTTCTTTTTAGGAAGGAAAAAAGGTTATTTTACGAACTGTTCAGTGAAAGGTTCTTTAGTGAGCCAATAAAATGGTTCTTCTATTGAATCACAATCACTAATCACCCCCTCCAGCTATGTTTCTTCTCAGTGGAAACACATCCTAACTGTCACAGTAATGTAAATAACAGCCCAATTATCGTGATTAGTTTTCCTCGAGTTTTCAACAGATGTACAGCTCTACCACATCACACAGTCAAACATATGCTAGCGCTGTAATTGATTCTCTGCAAGGTTAATGTGGAAATCTGAGGGGTTTCCAGCAGGGCAGATGATTCACTAAGAGTTGTATTAATGTTTTTGGCAAAGGGGAAAAATAATCCTTGTGCGACTTTATCACAGCTGTTTTAATATTTAAGGTGTATTATTAATTATTTACTTTATTATAATTATTTCACCTTTTTCAGCTATATTATTACATTTCTTTTTTTAATAATACACCTTTTATTAAAAAAGGAAATGCAATAATAACTGAAAAAGGTCAAATAGTTCTGCAGCTTGTGTGATCTTTGCTTTTTTTTGTTATTCTTTATGCTATTATTCAACAATAAAACAAACTTTGAAAAGAGAACACAATGCAACCAAATCGGTTAGTAGATTTTCTGGGTCTAAAATGAAATGTAAGCTGATTTATATATATATATATATATATATATATATATATATATATATTGTGGGTAACACATTACAAGTTATGTAATTTAAGATTACTTTTTCAAGTAACGCATTTCTTTTAGATTTACAACAGATCTGAGTTACTTTTTCAAAATAATGTAAGTTACTTTGTTTATATTGATAGACTGACACCTGCCTTGTTACCATGTTAACCTGCAGTACTTTATCCCTGTACTGAGGCTTATTCTTTTAACTTTTGAGAGAGCCAAGTTACAGTTGCCAAAAATATGCAAGCCCAGTCCAGGTGAGAAAAGAACAGCAATGAATTACTTTCCATAAAAAGTAACCAAGCAATGCAGTTAGTTTTTCAAGGAGTAACGCAATATTGTAATGCATTACTTTTAAAAGTAACTTTCCCCAACACACACACACACGGGCGCGCGCGTCATTGCGCGCATCAAGTTTGTTTACAATTTGTTTTAAACATTAGCGTTTGTGTACGCGTGTGCGTTATTTTATGATTGGTCAAATTTTTACTTTTAAGTGATCACTGATTTTTTTGCATTGTAGCCTACGGTCTGTGAATTCGTATATTTTGCAGTTGTGTTGCTGTTCGTCGGTGTTAAAGGAGCAGAGGTGACATTTAGTGACTGACGGAATAGCGCCTCTCTTTTAAGCGGACGATGATGATGATGAGGCGCGGGCACGGCGCCTGACGTGTCTCTTCATCATCAGCTGCTTGGAGTGAGGAGCGCGCGGTGGCACTTTATCGCGCTCTCCTCTGTCTCGCGCTCTCATTCCGGCTCGAGCGCAGTGCCATGCGAGCGAGTGCGTCTTCGTGTGCCAACCTCGCGTGCGCCCGGAGCGTCAGACCCCGGCGAGATGCGGGAACTATAACGGGAGCTCAGATGTTTGGAGGTTCTCCACTGGATTGTTGGTAAATGTTCCTGCCCCACTCTCTGACGACCATGCTTTATTTCCAGCTGGTGATCATGGCGGGCACGGTCATGCTGGCATATTACTTCGAATACACGGACACGTTCAACGTGCACGTGCAGGGATTCTTCTGCTACGAGACCGCGTACACGAAACCCTACCTCGGACCCGAGGACACGAGCGCCGTCCCGCCCGCCCTGCTGTACGCGGTGGTCACTGGAGTCCCCACATTACTGGTGAGTCACTGAATACATTGATAGGTGATATATTGATAAATCATTTCGTATTGATTATCATTGATAAGTGCTCTAGCTCTATCTATAGCTTAAAAGCAGGCTTGAGATGTCTAAATGACAGCTGTGGTGATTAGTGTTATTGATTGATAAGATCAGTTGAAGTTGATTATTATTTACAATTGTTGAATGAATGAATGAATGAATGAATAAAGGCAGATCAGATTGTTTAGTAGTTTCATATGGACTTTCTTGATACGTGATGATGGATCATAGATCTGATTTATAGGTGAGAATCCTTATTGATTTGGGCGTCTATGGGGTTATGATTTGTTAGTGATTTTCTTGTTGGAATTCTTTAATTTGGTTAAATTAATAATTACATGAAATCCAATCAGACTAGAAATTCATGTGCTCTCTTGATATTGATTGTCCTTAAAATTTATTGATATTGATTTAAGTGATTTGATATTTTTTGTCATTTGTTTTTTGTTTTTTATACAAATATTTTATATAGAATAATTTCATGAAGGCAGATCAAACTATATTTATCCGATTAGTAAATAACTGCATGCAACATGATTAGTGTTCGATTAGGGGTTTGTGTGCGATGGGATAAATAGGTTTATGATAAAATGCAATTTGTTTAAGATTTTGATTGGATAATTGATTTAGCCTGCTTTGATTTTAGAGGTATGCAAGAGTGGTTTAATAAAAACAAAACGTGCTATTTAATACTGATTTCGCTTGAGGACCGTTCTAAGTGATTGCATGATAGTAATTCACACTACTAGATGCGTAAGAAAATGGTTTAATAAAAACTTTGGTAATATGTGCACCAGTACGATTATGGCAACACCGTCTGGGGTAAAGAAATAATGTACACCATGAGTCTTTAAGATAAGACTTTTATGTGAATCATAACTGCCTTTCCAGCTCTTCTGATTTTTGTATGTTTATTTATAATTTAAAGGATATTCTTCAGAATTGCACAGAATAGTAATTTTCATGCATGCAGGATTGTATAATTAACCAGCAAATCCAAATGTTTTCTGCATATGTTCCATCCTGGTAAGTCAGCATAATGAGATTTCATTATCAGTGCATGCATAAATTAAGCCTGCATATCATAACCCCCTCCCTCTCTCCTCATATCAAAGCCTTTGATGTTAGGTTTTACACCAGGCTCTGCCCCAATACTGAATGCCATCATTAGCTTGTCTATTCACTCAACTGTGTCAATGTTAAATAACACTTGTTTATAGAAAACTGCAGGTTTTTTGAATGAGGAAAAAAAGAAAACTCAGTATAGCTCTCACATCTCACTGTCTGTAATTTAATGTTCACCAGCCCACATAATTTCATCACTGGCAGTGACTCAATCTGAAGTGCTGCCACGCTGGACCTTTGCTTCTCTGTCAGCTCATAGTGTGGTTCTGCATTCACCTTATGTGTTTAACAGATAAAAGAATATTCTTAAAATGTGTTTTCATTTGGTTCATTTTTATTTTATTTTAGGATTACATGTGATTGGACCCCATGATTTTTCTTTTGTTCTATTTCTCAATTTATTTCTGCTAAATATACAAGAGAATATCATGCACATTCTTCTTTTTTTTACTCTTTTCTTAAAGTTGATCATATTTAGTGGACAAGAATGAAGCTTCATTTTTTATTTGCTTGCATGACCTGTTTTCTTACACCATGTCCTAACTACACGCGACGCGACGCGATGCCGCGACACGCGACAAAAGGTATCTTTTCCATGTTAATCAGAGTTTTTGTCCTAACCAGACGCAACGGCGACACGCAAAGTTTCTAATTTAGAAACGGTTCCTATTTCTGCGACAGAATGAAGAAATTACACTGGTTATGAGCACACATTATTTATTTTTAGTTAAAAATAGGTCACTGTGCCACAAGATAACGGATAATTTACCTCAGATTTTGAAAGCAGATAATATAGCGTTTAAAATGAATTCTATGCAAACATACAACTGTAGCCTACTTCATCACAAAATTAGTCAATGAGTATGTTTTGTTAATGTTTTGATTTTTAATAATGTTATTTCTTGATTTGATTATGTCCTTACCCATTTCCAATGAGAGTGCGGGCCAGCAGTGCGCTTTCACCCACACGCTGTTCTGCATGGCTGTGATTTTTGAGTGTGGCGTCTCACAGTCGAGTCTCTAGTGTGGACAGACACACTTGCTGTCGCTGGTATTTTATCGCGTCGTGTGTAGTTAGGACACAGTGTTAGGGTGTGTTTACATGACAACGATGTACTCAAATTTTTCATGTTTTTCCTTAGTTGTTTTTTTTAAAGTTTCGTGTACAGGCAGCAACTTTGTCAAAACAATCTCTGTTCCCACGAAAACGAATAAAACGTTGTATATTCATCCCAGGCCAGTAGTTGGCGCTGTCCGTTTGTAAAGAAATATACTAAGCGCCTATACACAAGTTTACGCGCCAAATTATGGGTGCCGCCATAGCTCACTCTACTGCAGCTTCATAATATTGGTAGCTTCTTCAAAAGGGAGGGGTGAGCAGTGGGCTGAGCAGTGGGCTTAGTGCAAACTCGCAACCGAACCACTTGAAAAAAATCGCTAAAAATCACATACTGCACCATTAAAATTGTGAAAATGTGCAAATTTACAGACATTTACCATTTTTTTGGAATTTTTTCTGAGTTTTTAGACATTGCATCTTTAAAATAAATTCAAGTTTAAAAAAAAAAAAGATATTCAATAGAAATTAAGTTACATCCTAGGGATGGAAATGTTGTTTTAGTAGTAGTAGTAGTAGTAGTAGTAGAAAGAATGGGGGTGGTGAGATCTGCAAATTACCCAATAACAACTTTGCCATGCTACGTTTCTGATATTATTTTATGTATTTATTGGAATATTATTTTTTATTTTTGCCCCATGACAGTTGGATGGATTATTTAGAAAATTGCATTTTACATGTTGAATCATGTTTTATTCACTCACAGTTTATTATAATTTATTTGTTGCAAATTTAGCACTTGGCGAGTATTAAATTCTTAGCCATGCCTTCAGCAGAACTGTACTTTCTGCTTTGCTTAGAGTTAACCAACACTAATGTAATGTTGACTATACTTGATGCTAATAACCAAAAGTATACAGCATGAGACTAGATTGGGTTCAATAGTTTAAATGCAGAAAAAGGTGAGGGGTAAAAAGGGAAGGAAAGAAGAAAATCTAATGTGATTCCTTTCTGGAGACTAGATGCATTTTTCATTCACAGTGCTGACAGGTTATAAGTGTCGCTACATTGCAGCTAGGTTGTTATGTTTTTCCCAAACACCTTTTTGAGCAGAGTGGTGCAGACAGATATTGGATCATGTTGTTCTAGACAGAAAAAATTACAATCTGGCGGCTACGTTGAAACACTGTGTGACCCCAGCCAAAGCTGTCGTAAGGAGAGATGAACTCTATCTCCGCAGTGAAACCATCACACTGTGATTTGTAGTCTAAAGGCTTGCGGTAAAGATATGAGTTTCAGACAGAGATATTACTCGGTTTGAGCTGATATTGGCAAAAATGACATTGATGCTTTAAGGTGAGGGTTATGGGGGGAAAGTCTTGCAAAAGCAAAATGATTAAAAAAATTCCTCAACATAATAAGTTCGCTGCCGGATTTGGATGCGTTTGTGCAATATCACCCGTAGACAGTCAGACTAGTATGCCCATCACATTTTTTTTTTAAAAGGAATTAAAACATAAAATCTTTCAGTATCATTTAATACTGATAAATCTTCTGATAAAGGAATGGAATTTAAAGATCACTGACAAATGTGCTAAACCATAACAAAGCCCATTCTTTGTCAGAGATTATAATAGACAAAGTTTGAGTGTAATCAGTTTAGCCAAACATTTTCATGATGACTTGTGCAAATTCACTTGACAGTAAAAGGTCAGAGCAGTAGTCGTGGCAAGATTAAAGGGATAGTTCACCCAAAAATGAAAATTCTGTCAGTATTTACTCACCCTCATGTTGTTCCAACCCCGTAAGACCTTCGTTCATCTTCGGAACACAAATTAAGATATTTGTGATGAAATCTGAGAGCTGGATCACTCGTCCATAGGCTTCTTAAGGAATTGAAACTTGCCTGCCTCGAAAAGTTATTAAAGACATCGTTAAAATAGTCCAAGTGACTACAGTGGCTCAATCTTAAATTTATCAAGCGACAAGAATACTTTTTGACCGCAAAAACAAACAAAAATAATTACTTTATTTCAACTATTATTCATTTCCTTCTCTGTGGGCCTTGAGTGAGTTCACTAGTGTAACAGCGTAAGCTTCTGTTGTTGTATGTCACACGCATCACACACATGACCAGCGTCGGCCAATAGTACGCTATCACACTATGTTAACTAATGTCACACTAATTAATGTAATAGTAACTATGAGTTGAATTGAGTGAATTGGGCTTCCACATGAAGATATGAAGATGAGGAAAAGGCTTGTTAGTACTGGTTAGTGTTTGTTAGTATTGTTGTGTGTTTTTTTTTTCTCTCTTTCTAGGAAGATTTCACAAAAAAAATGTTCTTATCCCCAGTTTTCAGAGATTATTCCAAACATACTCCATTGTTGAGGTTTGGTTGTGTTTAAATATCTTATCTTTTTGTCTCTGTGGTCTTCATATATTTATCATCTTTATGAAACTTGCCTTGTTACATCCCAGTAATGTTTCTGAATTCAGTAGTTTAAGGGTTTTTGATAAAAGGGTTTTGCAGGAAAATCAAGAGGTTGTGTATTTTTCTCATTTTTCACAGCATTAGTATATTCTTCTTATTCAATACACTTCTAGATTTTTTTCGGTTCTACAGAACGGATTGAAAAGACGCTCTGACAACATAAAGTGAGCAATAATGATTATGAAATAGTTGTTCATTAACACAGTCCAAACAAATATCTCTCCATTCTCAACAGCGATCATCTGGGCCCTACAAACCAGCGAGAAACTAATAGATGTTCATGTCTGGCTGAGTGATCAGGACTTCATGCTTGATTTGCTCTCTGTTCAGTCAGTTTTAGCCCATTAGGTTGAAAATGGTCGAGTTTACATGTCCACTTTTGGGCATTAGCATTGGGCCACACATCATGATTGTATTGTGTCGTTTATTGGAGCGCCGTTATGTAGAAACATGTGAATATATTAGGGCTGGCAAACGATTAATCGCGATTAATCGCATCCAAAATAAAAGTTTGTGTTCACATAATATATGTGGGTGCACTGTGTATATTTATTTTATATATATAAATACACACACATCCTTGTAAATATTTAAGAAATATTTTCATATATATACTGAATATAGATTTATATATATTTTATATTATATATAAATATTTTATATATAAATAATATATTTTTCTTAAATATACATGCATGTGTGTGTATTTATATATATATACGAAATAATCTATCTATCTATCTATACACAGTGCATCCACATATACTATGTAAACATAAACTTTTATTTTTTTTATGCGATTAATCGCGATTAATCGTTTGACAGCCCTAATTAAAACATAATCTGAAACAGGTAAACACACCAAATGTTTAAAAAATAATTACAGTGCAGATGAACTCGAGCACACAGTGGTGTAAACACAAAGAACTAATCTGCTTTAGAAAAAAGGTTAAATCTTTAGCGGTAAGCTCTAAGCATGTTAGTCTTTCAAGTTACTGAGCGGAAATACCTTTCTTTTACCTGACCAATATGCGTGCCAACCTTAAACCTAATTTAGTTAACCCTACTTTTTAACCTGTTGTTATTCAGTCAGTCATTCTGTGTTGTAGTTATTAGGAGTCACTGTCGTAGACTTACACAAGAAAGAAAAACAAGCATCTTGACCAGCTTGGCATTGCAACAGGATCAACCAATGGTATGAGGTCAGGACGGGGCTATCTATTGGTTTGACCAATGGACGATAGGGGGAGTGTTTTAGGAAACCTGTTCTAAACTTGTCTTTATTTTTTCTGTTCTGTTTGGTGACACCAGAGGTACAAAAACAGCATACTTCAACTTTAGGGTCAACAAGAAATAATATCAATATTCAGTGCACATTATTCCAATGTCATTGTAATCTATCATTACGATCGAATAAATTGCTTTCCTTTTCAGCTGACATCACCAAGCCCTCTCATTTTTAACTATCTGTCATATGGAGAATTTTTTTTACAACCCAGTAGATTCCTAATGGATAAAATCAAGTAATTTTTCAAGTAAAGTTATTACAATAATTTTTCACTTACAAATTGCCATGTCAGGGTCTAAGGTTGTTGCATTAAATATATAGAAGTATATGTTGGATGCTCATAACCTAGATTCTGCTGTGTATGTGTGTGCAAAGCCTTGAGCGGTCGTGCTACTGTTTTGAAGTAAGGAGGGCGGCAAATGGGCCACCAAGCTCTTGCGCTTCTCCAGCCAGATTTTGATGCGGTGGTTTGAGAATATAAGATTAGGTCCCTCTGCTTTTGGAAGTAGAAGATCCTACTTGCATGGATAAGCCCCAAAAGAAAACCCTCAAGGAGCTGGACAGGCTCTTAAATCACTCTGACAGATCAGGAAGAGCCTCAAGCTCCGCATGCTAGTCCGAATCCTGGTCTCTTTACCTCAGTCAAACTCAGATCCTTGAGCTCAAAAAATACGTTTCTCATTGGTTAACTTTTATTGCAGATCGAGTTCTCTTTAAACACTTAGAATGGATCCTAAAATCCATTTTTAAAAGAAATTTTCACAATTTAATTAGCACAAAATGAGATTTGTAACAGATTTTAATTATATTATGTGATGTTTTTCTAAATGGAACAGGATTTTCAACAATAAAATAATGTTGGTCAGGCCGCAGGACTTGAAGCTATCCATTGGGAATTGATTGGATTGTGCAAGGTGTCTTATTTGACAGGAGGTTGAAGGGGATGAGCTAAAAATGAGAGGGCTTGGTTATCAGCAGAAAAGGAAAGTCATTTCAGAGGCAGAACAAGTTATTACATTTTGATGAAAAATTGCACAAATTCTGATGAATCGTTCACAATAAGACCAGGAACATGTGGTCTATTAATAAAGTTAAATTTTAGTTTAAAATATATGTTGCTTTTAACAAACTTTTCATAGTTTTTCATCAAAATATTAATATTAAGAGTTAATCTCTTCTAATGGTGTAACAAGGGTCACATAGTCAATGAACATTTAGTAATGATATCAATCCAACTGACCGTACACTAAAAACATTTGTTGCATTACATTTTTAAGTACAACCAACTTAAATTACCTTAAACTGACATAAAAAAATAAATTGAAACTTGTATAATGTATAATACAAGTTAAAAATTGCTTAACTTATTTTGGCGAGTTAAAGCAATGTAAAAACATATGTTGTCATAACTTATTGATCATATAAGTTTTTACAGTGATGAAAAATGAGAAAATATTTTCATGATTTGTAATCACAACATTTTTTCTTTTGTCAAATCAACTTAAATAATTTACGTAGTTCAGAGAACCTAATAGTTTGAGTTTCTGATGATTAAATCAATCTCCTTCATTATATTAACTCAATTTTTTCATTTCAATGAACTTAAAATTTTAAGGCAATCAGGTTACTTCATTTTTTAAGTTAAACCAACAATATTTTTTACAGTCTATTCAATCCTGTACATGAAGTATACTTTGTGAAAAGGCCTCTAGTCACATCAAGGCTTCTGTCTACAACAATATTGCAACACATCATCTACTAATGAATGCAAATAAGGGCAGAACAAACTCTTATTTGGATTTATGGGATGGAAATAATGCCTGTTCTCATAATGATCATCAGCACAATAAAACGCAACACATTTATTATTATTACAAGTCATTTTCAGAGGCAGCACCAGTGGGCTTTAACAATGGAGCCAGAGAATCAATTTCTTGTTTCTGTCTTGTTGTCGGTTTTAAACTCTTTTTTTCCGTTTCCTACCATTTCCATTGGCAACTGAAAATTAGTTTTTAGGTTGTAGCTTTCCACATTCCATTCCAGACCTGATGAAATAAAATGTTGTTTTTTTATTGTGGGCTAATTTACTTTGGTCAAAACAGTCTTCGCAACCACCCAGACCTCCAAAGCAACATGGCTTAATAGTGCATGTTTTGCACTAATAAGCACCACTCACATTTTCTTCAGAACATGTAAAAACAGCTATATGGCTAAATTTATTAGACATTTTTTAATGTTTTCTGATGTTCTGCTCTGTTTCAGATCACCGTGACAGAAACTGTGTTGTTCTTGATAGAGTATACATCAAAAGATCTTGACAGTCGAGAGAAGACCATCGTGAATGGGGACTGCTGTTACCTCAACCCATTAGTGCGGAGGACTTTCCGTTTCCTTGGTATGTCACTGCTATTCCTCTTTATTTTATGTCTTTTTATGGAACTTTGTGCTTTCATCCCTGACATTCAATTTACAGTTAAACCTGGAATCACTTGGAAGTAGTTTTTCCCTCTTAAGCGAGAGAGGTTGTTATAACCAATGTTAAGTGCAGTGCACTAGAGCCAAAAACCCTTGTATTTTAGGATAGAACCTGTGTGAAGGACTTTATTATCCTTAAAGCAATGCTTAATTTAAGCCGGATGCTGTTCCGAAAGATGTCAGATGTGGGATTTTTGCGTTCTGGCATTTAAACAATCCAGCATGTATGACATGTATTAAACAATTAACATGTACATTACATGGCGACAATGTGTGCGTGTGAGAGACAGAGCGTCTTTATGCAGATGTATTTGGAGGGTATGTTTTGCTATTGGCTGTCAGCATATATATTTTTGACCAATTAGCTTTCTTAAGTACAAAATCACTATCATTAGTTGGTGCTTACTGCTTAATTTTTTTTGCGAGCAAGTAAAACGTAAAGTTTGGAGAGAGTGTATATAAATGATTCTAATAAAAATAAGTTAACATCGTCAAAAAGACAGTCAAGCATATTTTCATTTTCCATATTCATGAGTAAAGCTGATGGTGTTTTAAAAGAGATCCTGCTAATAAAGTAAAAAAAAATAAAAGATAACTGCTAATAATAATATGGATAGTGGGAGACATGAGCAATGGGTCAGTCAGCATCAGAAATCGATTTATGACATCAAAGATGAGAGAGAATTTCACTGATCAACTGAACAATGTTTGGTCGCAACACTCAACGCTATACAGTAAACACTCACCTAAAGGATTATTAGGAACACCATACTAATATTGTGTTTGACCCCCTTTCACATTCAGAACTGCCTTAATTCAATGTGGCATTGATTCAACAAGGTGCTGAAAGCATTCTTTAGAAATGTTGGCCCATATTGATAGGATCGCATCTTGCAGTTGATGGAGATTTGTGGGATGCACATCCATTCGTTCCACCACATCCCAAAGATGCTCTATTGGGTTGAGATCTGGTGACTGTGGGGGCCATTTTAGTACAGTCAACTCATTGTCATGTTCAAGAAACCAATTTGAAATAATTCGAGCTTTGTGACATGGTGCATTATCCTGCTGGAAGTACCCATCCGAAGATGGGTACATGGTGGCCATAAAGGGATGGACATGATCAGAATCAATGCTCAGGTAGGCCGTGGCATTTAAACGATGCCCAATTGGCACTAAGGGGCCTAAAGTGTGCCAAGAAAACATCCCCCACACCATTACACCACCACCACCAGCCTGCACAGTGGTAACAAGGCATGATGGATCCATGTTCTCATTAACGTTCTCAGAAATAAGGGCTTTAAAGAGATCTGATCCTTGATCTAACAATTCCAGACACTGTAAGAAAAGATGTGATCCTGCAATAAAGATTGTGGTTTTTGACCTTGGATGCATGTAAATCTATTGTAGGAAATACATATATTTATACATACAAGATAAAGCACCCTCAAAACAAAATTGGGACCTTTAATAGCATAATTGGGGCACATCTTGGTTTTAGTGTTTCAGTAAAAAAAATGATTTCGGTGCATTACTACTGGAAACACAGTCTGTAGATCTATATGATATTTTTTGCTGTTTATCTAACGTCATGTGCCTTACAGTATCATGATGGTAAAGCCTTTTCAACCACATCACATTCACTTAATGCAGTTTAACAAATTAAGACCAGACTTAATCTGTAATTTCTTTCTCTTTCGTTCTCTGTTTCATTTCATTCTCTGTCCCCCTTTTAAATCATTTTCTCCCTTTAATGCTTCAGTGTTTTTCTGAGATAAAGAAACAGCAAAGTCATGGATTATTAGCCTGATCCCCCGATACTTCCATCTCCTATTCATTTCTGCATTAAATGGTTTCTATTCACTGCAGACTCTCTCACTTTCTCGGCAGAATATACAGTACTTTAGTCATAGTTTCACAGTTTCCAGTGCCTAGTCATCCAAGCTGCTTGTTGGGGACATCTGACGGCATTAAGCGGTCTTAAAGACAAATCAGATAAGCAGAATTCTTCTTAAGCCTCCTACAGTACTGAGAAGGTCACATTTACTTTGCTGACAGCATCTGCCAATGTTCAGCAGAAGTCAATGTGGCTCAGAGGAAAGCTTCTTTTGCAACGTTTGACGCCTAAAAAGCATTGTCACGATTTAATCTACATGGTGACATTTTTATCTTTAAGGATATATAACAGTTCAAGCTCAAAATTTTTATTTTCTTCTTAAAAAAAAGTTCACCCAAAAACAAAAATTATGTCTGTCTGATCTAGAGCCCGACCGATAAAGGATTTTGAAGGCCGATACCGATACAAATATTTTTTGGTTTTAAAATCCGATATTCCGATATATCGGTTGATTTTTTTATTTTATTTTTTTCAGAAAGGCGCAACAAAACATTAACAGATTTCCCTAACATTAGTTTTCAATCTAACAGGCCAAGGAGAGATCCGTCTCATTGCTATAACTGTCACGCGCTGTTAAAGAAATACTTCAGTCACATTATCAAAAGTTAAAAGGACAGTCAGTCAACTACACTATAACAACGTTACTTAACTATTACTAGCTATTTACGCTTCACTCTCGGCTTATTTAACAGCAGCAAAACTGGACTTGATAGTCACAAATTTTGTTGCTTATTTCAGTTAAGGGAACTCATGGGGATGTTCTTTTAATTGTTATTCCAGCAATGTATGTCTTGTGACCAACTCAACGAGTGTTGCCAACAGGGACTGTGTAGAGTGCCCTCCGGTGGACAAACTATACAACTCCAACACTCATGACATGGTTCAAGCGTGTTTCATCCGTTTTTATTTATTTTTTTTAAATATTCATTTATCGGCCATTATAACTGCCGATACCGATAGTTTGGAAAATGCCTAATATCGGCCTGCCGATATATCGGTCTGGCTCTAGTCTGATCATTACTCACCCAATTGAAATTTTTGTCATTATTCGCTCTAAATCCATTGCATTTCTTAAATCTCGTTCATGTTGATGTCTGTGACCCTGCAAATTCATACAGGTTTAAGCAATAAGGTTCGAGACATTGTGGTCAGAAGTTTTGTAAGTTTTAATTCTTTTTGTTTGAAAGAATTCAATGCTTTTATTCCACATGGATGCATTAAAGTGACAGCAAAGACATTCATAATGTTCAAAATTAAAAAGAATTAAAATTAACTATTTTAGGTCATCAACATGGATAATAACAAAGTTTCATAAGCAGCAAATCAGCATATTTGAATAATTTCACACTGAAGACTGGAGTAATAATGCTGAAAAAGAGACTTTTCCAGTCTTCAATTGTCCAGTTTTGGTGAGCCTCTTTTTTGTAGAAAAATTGTAGCCTCTTTTTCATAATTGCAAGTAGTGGAGATGAGTTGTACCCGGTGGTATCTGCTGTTGTAGCCCATCCGCCTCAAGTTTATGCGTGTTGTGGCTTCACAAATGCTTTGCTGCATACCTCGGTTGTAACGAGTGCTTATTTCAGTCAAAGTTGCTCTTCTATCAGCTTGAATCAGTCGGCCCATTCTCTTCTGACCTCTAGCATCAACAAGATTTTTTTTTGCTCACAGGACTCCTCATACTGGATGTTTTTCCCTTTTCACACCATTCTTTGTAAACCCTAGAAATGGTTGTGCATGAAAATCCCAGTAACTGAGCAGATTGTGAAATACTCAGACCGTCCCGTCTGGCACCAACAACCACGCCACGCTCAAAATTGCTTAAATCACCTTTCTTTCCCATTTTGACATTCAGTTTGGAGTTCAGGAGCATTGAAGCCATGTGATTGGTTGATTAGATACTTGCATTAATGAGAAATTGAACAGGTGTTCCTAATAATCCTTATGATGTTTTAGGTATATCTATGTAAATATATTTACAATATAGCACATAGTGTTGCTTTGCTTGTACAAAATGTTACTATGTAAAACAAGTATAAAGGAAAATATTTAGAAAAATTAAGTTTCTTCCTTTTTGTTTGAGAATTGACGGTACGTCTCAACAGAAAAGCATCCAATGAGACCAGTTGCTTCGTGACCTGGAGTCACTGGCTTGTGTTATTTGCATAATGACTCACGCTGCGATGTTCTTTGGGAGAGATTAAATTTAGAAAATGGCTGTGGGTCATGGTGCACTCTGAGTTAGTTCAGACAGGATTTCTCTGTAATATTTCTTAATCTCTCTGCCTGAGAAGAACTCTTGGTTCACGTCGACTCTTGATATAAAAAAATGATCATGAATGAAATCAGGAAACAGCTGTTTGTGCTTGTGCCAATAAAAGGCCTGTTCCTCCTCCAAGTTATATCAATGAAATGCTATAACAATTTAAAACCAAGTTGAATTTATCATTATGAAAGGTAACAGAGTAAAAAAAAAATGTCTGTTTTATAAAACAGACATAATTGGGAGAAATCTTTTGTTTTAATTTCAGCTCATTTAATGAGAATTCATGTTTTGTTTATTTTCTAGCCATAGGCTAAATAAAGTGTTATCTCTACATACTATATATAATTGTATGTATACAAATAGGCAGATAACCCCTACATTTATTATACTCATTAGTAATTAAATTGTGGTGCACATGTATTGTTTCATGATGGAGTGGACCCTGATACATAAAACATGGAGCTTCTAAATGTAGACACTTTTATGTAAACTTGAGAGTTAAGATTATAAATTGCTAAATTGATTTTTTTGTATATTGTAGAAAAATAAGATTGTTGCTAGGTTGATTGTTTTGTGCATTGTAATTAACTTTTTTTGTTAGCTTAAACTTTAAGATTATACATAATTTTATCTTGAATCAATTATTTGCTGGATAATTCAGTCATTTTAGGAAAAAAAGAAAAATGCCATTTATGTAGCAGGGTTGATATGGAGCAAAAAATAAACACTCGTGGACAGGAGTGTGAATCAGTTGAATCCGTTCTGAATGAATTCACTGAATCAGAGCGGAAATCAACGAATGCTCCAAGATTCACTAACAGCAATATGTTCCTTTGGTGTCCACGCAGTTGTTGAAATGTCCATGTGAAAGGAAGTGTGAATAAGCCATTTTTAGCCCCAGTTCATTTGCAGACAGAAAGCAGTTTAGAGACTCTTAGCATCAAAGCCATGTTGCCAACATAACAGAAAACAGGATGGATGTGATGCCAGCCAGTGACCTTTTTGGTGACATTTTTATGTGAACCTCAGCTGGCATCATCACCTCTCTTAATAAAATAAAATAAGACCATATTATTCTCCCCCAAATCGCATGCCAAACTTGTTTTGCTATGTGTCACTTAACTCCACAAGGCGTTCCTGTGAGCGACTGTATTTATGCATGGGAACATGCTAAATGGTGCTTTGTTAATGTTGTCTGAATACTTCTGGCAACAGTTATGAAAATGACTTATTGTTGATACTCAAGTCTTTCAATGGTCGTAATAATAGCCTTGTCAAACTTGTCATTCTGTAAAGATGTTCTGAACTAGAAGAACATGACATTAGGAGTGAAGGAGAAAAAAACGAAGCTCTTTCAGAAACAATGCTTACTTCCCTTTCTTTGGAAAATATCTATAATTGTAAAAGACCGTAGAAAAGAAGGGTATAAAGGGAGAAGATTCATTTATGATGTGTCCATCTTGAGTTCAGGTTTCTCAAGCTCAGTGGTTCTCATTTTACTCAAGGGGTGAACAACAAAAACGTTGCCTATATTCAACGTAGGCTCATTTTCTTTGACCTTGCATAGTTTTGTTCAGATTTTTGACAGTGAGGGCATGTCAACATTGGGCTAGGAAAACATAATATTCATGATTAATACTGAACGATCTCTAATCCATATTGATTCGTAAAATCCCAGGATTGACCTGTAAACAATTTTCCAGTGATTCAGGAAGTTTGCAGAACTAATTGAATTTGATCAGATAAAGGTGGTTGAATCACAGAACGATGGCAAGAAAAAGCATCTTTATATTGATTTGTCTTCGCAAGCCTGCACGCAAAATCATACAGCGTAACTAGTGTAGTCTGATTCACAAACAAAAACAATTTTGTGCTGATCCTTTTTAGTGAATCCAAAACATAAAGCGCAACCGATGTAGACCAAGAACATATCTAAATGAACTCACACACACGCACCACTCAGATTCAGTGAGTTCAAACTCTGTTTTTTTTACTTAACTTTTTGCTATTTTTAGTGAACAAGTGTATATATATATATATATATATATATATATATTAAATTCAATGAAGTAAATCACATCAGATAAGCATTGTGAGTGTTTGAGCTCTCTTCATTGAGGTATTATAGTTTGAGTTACAGAGCACCGAAGAGAAAGACTCTGTTCAGTTAAGAAGATAGGTTATTATCAACTAAGAACATTTAGCTTCTCTAATGCCTCCTCACAGCTCAGCCGCGAGATGTGTGCCACTGTGGAGATTATCTCCTCTTAGGCATATCTGTTCCCATAATGTGCGTTAGTAAGACATTTTGATTCTGGTACACCATGTGCTAATCGAGCCTACATAAACCGGCCAGGCACAACCGCTGAATAATTGAACCAATTTCCAGGTCATGTTTGTCAAATATTTTAAGCCCCACCTTAATGGATTCTCTTTAAGGGATTTTATACTTTTGATGTGAAATCAAGGCAGTGGATTTTAATATCAAATTGGTTTTTCAATGGCTGAAGGTCAAAATTAGCTAAAAATAAGTTTTTGTATTAATTGATATCTGTATGTGTTTTTTTTTATCTTCATAGGTGTATACTTGTTTGGCCTTTTCACCACAGACATCTTCGTGAATGCCGGTCAGGTGGTTACAGGGAACCTGGCCCCTCATTTCCTGACAGTATGTAAGCCCAACTTCACAGCTCTGGGTTGCCAGCAAGCTCTACGCTATATCAGTCATCAGGAAGCCTGCACCGGCAACGAGGATGACATCCTGCGTGCGCGCAAGACCTTCCCTTCCAAAGAGGCGGCGCTCAGCGTGTACGCCGCGCTCTATATGGCTGTGAGTATCTCTTAAAGTCGAAACGGAAATTGAGATCGTCATTTTTTCCTTGTCGTTACGTATATCCGAGTGAAACGGATTCTGAAATTAGAAAAAATGTAGGGCAGGGCTTGATATCGTCCTTCGGGAATTGATTGGGTCGTTGGAGGTTGAGCGTTGCAAACAAAGGCGGTTCACCGATAGCCACACCCTCATCAGATCTGGCCGCACCCTTTCACCATTCCACGTGACCGAAATAGAAGAGAGGACGTTTCGATGGGGGAGGGAAGGGTAATGTATTTGATTAAAGATTATAAAGGGTACATGAATTTTAAAAAAATAATGAAGTGCACAGATAAATTCTTTATAATAAACACTACAACTACATATAAAAAGAAGATTTGTCAAATTTGATTTCATGCCGACTTTAAAGGGTTAGTTCACCCTAAAATGAAAATTAAGTCATTCATTTGTGTTCCGAAGACGAACAAAGGTCTTACGGGGTTGGAACAGCATGGGGGTGAGTAATTAATGACTTAATTTTCATTTTTGGGTGAACTAACCCTTTAAATCCAACCTAGGCTCGCTGGAAAAACTTGCCTGTTGTGGCTTCAAATGTTAAATCTTGCAAGTGATAATGTCCAGGAAGTGGTGCTAAAAGTACTTTCAGTTCTATCTGACAATGTTTTATTTTTGGGGGGGTTGTTGTATTTATCGTGGCAGTTTAGAAAAGAAATGTCCAATGAATGGCGCTAGAAAGTTAATGCTCTATCGCATTTGAAAATAAAGTACCACCTACACCAAACCTGACCTGAAACTAACTGACAGTGTTAAATAGTTTGTTCACGCAAAAATGTAAATTCTGTCATTAATTACTCATCGTCATGCAGTTCCAAGACTTTCTTTCACCTTCTGAACACAACAGAGCTTTCTGTCCCTTCATTGACAGCTACGCAACTACCACTTTCAAGCCCCAGAAAGGTAGTAAAGACATCATTAGAAAGTAATCCATGTGATTCCAGTGGTTTAACTTAAATTTTATTGAAGCGACGCAAGTTTGTGCAAAAAAACCCGAACACAATTTACCACTTTATTTACAAAATATTAATCTGCAGAGCACCACAATGTACTATGTGTGTTGTGTTGATGCGAGACCAGACGTTGTTGCTCGAGATGGATTACGAGTTTGTAAATAAAGTGGTAAATTATGTTTTTGGTGCAAACAAAGCACTCGCGTCGCTTCAGAAAAATTGAGGTTAAACCACTGGATTTGTGGTTAGATGTCTTAACTACTCTCTGGGGCTTCACGAGATTTCACGAAAAAGATCTTCATTTGTGTACTGAATTTGAACAAAAAGTCTTACGGGTTTGGAACGACATGAGGGTGAGTAACATTTTTGGGTGAATATTCTTTTTTTTTTTAAAGAAATGATGCTGATGGTTTATTAAATGCTTTTATTGGCATGGCAATTTTTATCATTAATGGTTTTAACATGCTGTGCTTTAGCTGTTACACTGTTTCCATGGTAAACCTTTCTTGGAAAAGCTGTCTTTTAAATGCATCTTTTATTCTTTATTTAGTTTTGATATTTTTTTAGCAGTGATGGTTAAATGAACATGCTGTGCTTTAGCTGTTAGACTGTTTCCATAGTATATCTTATCTTCATTGTCTTTAAATGCACCCCTTTTTAGAACTACTATACAGATTGCTGATGAACTTTTTTAGCCGTTGCATGGTCTTGCATTGTTTTTTGAGTGTCCCACTCCAAAACTTTGCATTTTAAGATGGCATGTCAAGTATATAGTCCAACTTTTCCTCCATTAAAAACATCATATTCGCTTATAACGTGTAACACGGACTTAATGTCAACTGCGAGACCTTAGAAAGTCCAAGTGTGGGTATCTGCATGTTGGAGTAATGGGCATGAAAGATCTTTTCAATTGGTTTCGAAAGCTGCCTGTTTGGGTGTGGGGTTAGTCTCTGTTGTAGCGTTATGTATTTTGGCATAACCCTACCTTTCAGCATGCCCATTACTCCGGCCTGCAGCTATCCATGTCCTAGAAAGTCTTTAGCTTTGAAGTTCTTCAAGAATGTTCAAAATCAAAGCACATCCTCTGCATCTCCACACACTCACCTTCATTAATGAATGTGATGTAAAGTGACAACTGTCAATCTGCTTTTGCCTTTGAGGTCTTCTTTTTAAATACAGCGGTCATATGAAGGTGATTTGGCCTCTTCTTACAGCAAGAACCACTTGTTCATTGGATTGCATTCGGTGGGTTTGAATTTTTAATGGCCAGAATCATTGATATGTATATCTCTGCATCTTAAAGTGAACGTCATGAAGCAGGATTATCTTGAGTGTATCCAGGAGTGTAGGACAGGACTGCATTTGAAATGCAGATGCAAATTCACAGGAGCTTCATTTGGATTCTGTCCGTAGCCTGATCGAGCACAGATATGGCGGAAAGCACTATAGTGTGAACATAGTCATTTGTGGCAAGGAGTTTTCTATGTAACAGGCAACTGAAGAAAGTGGTAACTCTTTTTCCATGAACGCTGTGGTCGCCCTGTCTGTCAGCAATCTGTCGGCTTGAAGATATGCCATTGAGAGAGGAAATGAGAGTTGGATTGGTGTGAAAAGGTTTAATGCCAATTTAAAGGTTTTGTCTGGACATTTCTTGTATTGGATCAATTGGTGACTCAATTGGTTTTGAATGAGGCTTTGTTTATACTGAACATTATTTTAATGGTTCTGCACCTTGTCTATCAGAAAATAGCCAAATTGAAATATGATCTTAATTTTTTTTTAACAGTTTTGTGGTTGGGATTTGTAAAAATCATTGTATACTAACTGTGGAAACTAAGTACTTGGTCTACACTAGTCTGATTCAGATCAGATTTTAAATCTGTTTTGGATTGAAATCAGGTTTCAATCAGATTTTAAACCACATTTTGTGGTGTTTTTTTTTGTTTTTTTTTTATATTTACACGATGAGCAAATAAATGGATAGATTTTAACCCAGTTTCAGATTTGGACCTGAATTGCAGTTTTAAAAAATACTTAAACTTAACATTAGTTGTTGCCTTAAATTAAGTATAACCAAATTAAAAATAAATTCAACTTAAATTATCTTAAACTGAAAAATTTAATTGAATCTTATGTAACTTCTAAAATAAAAAGTAAAAATTGCTTTATTTTAATGAGTTCAAATAATTTAAAAATGTCTGTCTTTTGTGTGCACAAATGCCCACCAAAAATGAATCTCGCAAATCATTTTAGAAATGGGCTGCGAATCAAGCTCTAAACATCCTCATAAATTAGATAACCTATGAGCTTTACTTATTCATTCCCATTTTAATCACCACTTTTATAGCCTCCCTTAATTTTTCAATTCATGGTCTAATTAGCCACAACGACCTGGTTAGGAGACCAGACGCCCTTTACAGACAAGCAGACTATGAAGGACAGAATCCAAAAATCAAGTAATGAGCATCTGGCATGGTTTAGCCCTCCTTTTCATCAGTGTTGCTGCTGCAGATGTGCGCCAGGCCCACAAGGAAATCTCAGTCCTTAGGGAATGGGAATGTCTTATACCAGCTGTTAGTCGAGTCGAGCCCTGATGACTAGAACTCCGAGAGAATCACGGTATCCCGGGAGGTTCGATTATTAATGTAGACACAAGAGAGGAGTCTGATTAGTGTCTGTAGGATGTGCCAGAGAACTTTGAATTTTTGACGTCCTGCAGGGTGTCTTTGAACGAACGTGCTTCTCCAATCAAATGAGCAGATCAATCACATTTCGTATGTAGGGCAGTAAGTGTAGAGGTGTTGTTTTAGCTTGCACTGTATGATCTGCACAACCAAGAGTTAGCTAAATTCTTCCTCTTTAACATTGTGATTAATTAGATACTAACAAATTGATAATCTAGATGAAATACTCCACAGTGAATATGTGACTGCTACTGCTGATCTGATGTGTTTTGCATTGATAAAATGGCCACAATTGTAGATTTCCATACTTTGGTTGTGTGTGTGTGTGTAGGTATTTAACCGCTTTAAGCTGTTTTAAAAGAGAAGTTCATGTAGTTTTGTAAAATGCGGTAAAAAATGGATCTAAATGCTATTTATGAATATATTTATTTTATCACTGAAAAGTTGGGATTAAAAATATTTAAAGTAAAAATATTTACCTAATTTGTCGATAAGATTTTTTAAAATGTTTTGGAAGAAGATCTCACCAAGCCTGCATTTATTTCATTAAAAAGATATAGTAAAACAGTAATATTGTGAAGTGAAGTATTATTTTAAAGCATTTTACAATGTAATTTTCCAAAGCTAAATTTTCAGCACCGTTACTTCAGTCTTCAGTGTCACATGATCCTTCAGAAATCATTCTAATATTCTGATTTGCTGCTCAAGAAACACTTATCAATGCTGAACACTTATAATATTTTTCTGGAAACCGTGATTCCTTTTTTGATTCATTGATGAATATAACGTTATAAAGAACAGCCAAACAAACTGGTCTCTTAAGTAGGGAGTTGCTCACTTGGTATTTGACTGGAGCTGCAAAACACTTTTTTTTTTGACTTTTGAAGAATGAGGTGGCAATGAAGTCAGAAAAGTGAGTTTGACTTTGTCAAAGTCCCGTGGGATGAGATTGACTTTACTCCAAAAACTATTAAGGCAGCCTGAGAGAGTTTGATAAAGTCATTGAACAAATACTCTTTTAATGTGACGCTCTCAGTCCTGAACATGATAGCTGTCACAGATGCAATAAAAATGTCTTTTTTATGTCTTCAGATGATGTAAATGAAAGTTTATCACAGCTGATGGCCAGTCGACCCGACAGAGAGGACACATAGTATCTTCCAGGGAAGAAGTTCTCGGCTGTGCAACAGTGTGTAAAATTGATATTTTGACAACTTACTTTAAAACAGCTTTGAGGCAGTCCAGAGGCTCTGCCCTTGACCTGAGAGATAAAATTTTGTTGCATTCACAAAGAAAGACTACATGGTTTTTGACAGTAACCCTAAAGGCAGATGACTGAGGACTCGACCGGCTTCTGAATCGCACATGCAAAATGTAGGACACGTCAAAAGTCAACATGCAACAGTGCTCGCAGTCGCAACCCATTTTTTAGTTAAAAAAAAAAAGTTGTGATACACATTTTTTTCTTAGAAATTAATACTTTTATTCAGGAAGGAAGTATTAAATTCATCAAAAGTGACATTTTTTGTACCAATTGAAAAGTCTTCACTGTTGAACTTTCTGTTTATTAAAGATACCTGAAAAAATGTTAAGCAGTTCAACTGTTTTTAACATTGATAACGTTTCTTGAGCAGCAAATCAGCACATAGGAAGGATCTTGTGCCTGGAGTAATGATTGCTTTCATTAAAAATGAAAATACATAAATAAAATCAAATATTTTGAATGCTAAAAGTGATTTTAGACATCTCAACATTATAATGTATACTATGAAAAATGTATATTTGTTTTGAGATTTTCTAAAGATTACATTTTATATTGTGCATAAATAATATTAATTATAGTAATATTGATATTAGTTAGTGTTTTTAAAGATTGAATTTTAAGTGATGATGCCAATAGACTTTACTGCTTAAATAACTCTATAACTGAGCTTCATATTTCTGTTTTTAAAACCATAATGCCCTGCCACATATTCATCCATTGGAAGTGCATTACAGTATTTTATATATAGTTTTCATTAGACTGTCGGATCTGTCTGGTTTATATTCTCTAAAAACAGAGTCATACATATTGAGATTTGAGGACACCGAAAATGTCTGCTCACCTCAACTCCTCAGATGGAATAAAATGAGGTCACAATAGCCGCGTTTCCACTGCCGGGCCAGGGCCGGGCCGTGCTAGTGCGTGCCAGGGCCAGTCGCGTTTCCACTGTCACTTCCGGGGCTTGATTGGGGCTTCCTCAGGGCCAACGGCCAGGATTTCTGGCCCGTCGAATACCTTGGGCCAGAGGGGGCCAGCTCGGGCTAGAGGCGTGCTCAAGGTAAAAGGCGGAGTTTATCGGTGTTATGGAACGTTATGATCTGAAGCAAGATGCACATAGGGGTGTCCATGTTTAACCGATTAACCGTTTAAAATTGCATAACATTTTAATTTGAACTGTAGGCCTATGCCAAATGCTGCGCAAAAATATATCAGGCTATGGGCTATATGCACGCATAAGTTCCGCATTTGACGTAAGGATGCTCGTCCATTTCCGGTTGTGTAGATTAAAGTGGAGGAAAACCGGAGAAAACGGGATTATGGCAGAGTCTTCAATATTTACTGTCCTCCCGTTTTTGAAACGAAACGTACATACGTTTAGATGTCATTTTATAGTTATGTTTATTTAATATAATTTTAAAAAGAAGCATAAACACAACGAGGGGTGTCTGTTTTATCTGTTTTTGTGGCTAACGTTTCATTAGTATAATCATGGAGTATAAAATTCAATATAAATTCTCGGTATTGCATTGGACTCTATGATCGGCGGAAGTTATTAATCCTTCACCGGAAATAACGCCGTGCATAGAGCCCATAGGCTACATATCGACGTATTTTCAGATATTTGTTTGATTTTTTTTGCCCCTTAAACTTTTAAATATTTGACAAATTCATATGAAAAAAATATATATTTTACTGGTTTTCTGAGGCCAAATTAGAACCTGGAAATGATATTTTCCCCGCAGTGCTGAATGAGAAGAGCCGTAACCACAGCCTACAGAAAGGGGATTATAGGTGATTTATAGGCTATAATAAATTGTGTCTGATAATAAAATAATATAAAATAACGAGGCATTAATTGTTTATTAATAAACTATTGTTTTCTAAATGATTTTCGGCTAAAAACATATCTCCATCTCCGGATGCACATTTAGAGAGAAATTAATTAGCTACATAATTACATAGTCAGAAGATATTGGCTTTCGATTCGAATTTGTTCGTTTTAAATTGGACATTTAAAGCTTTAATCTACAAAGGATATAACCCCTGTAGACTAAAGCTTTAAATGTCCAATTTAAAACGACTAAATTCGAATGCGGTTGTTTCAGGTCTCGCGCTTCAGTTCACGGAGATCATTATTGTTAAAGCACAACGTTTTCTTGTTATTGTGAGTTTACGCAAATAAATGTATTTGCGAATAATGTATTATTATTTTCTGTATGACCAGAAATGAAAGAGTATTTTAAGTTGTTTCCACTGAAAGAAATGCAATGAAACTGCAAGTGTTTACATGGGCGTCTCGCAGCCATCAGTGCGTGCTCCACACACACTGGATATGCGCTGATATGCGTCAAAAATATTCTGTTTATTTGTGCTCTGTTCCTTTTTTGGATAAAGGCGTCTTCTACATATGCAGCCTAATAAAATGTTACAATAATGATGATGATGGTTATTATTATTATTATTTGCAGACACAGAGTTTTTGTGAAATGGACGTTTTGCTTATTTTCAATTGGCAATTTCAGTTTGAAGGGTGATGGAAATGCGGCTTTAACTGCTCCGTACTTGCTGCGTTTTATTTCTATAAATTAATTTCGTTTCAAATGGGGTCCAATCAGTTATTAAAGGTGTTAAAAATTAACTCTGTATCTCGAGGTTGCGGCGCGCACACTATGCACCGAGTATTAACCGATGGGCCTCGGTTAACGGTTAATGAATAACTTGAAAACGTGCCCGCAGCCCTACTTGTTATATCGCGCAAAAAATCGCTGCTTGAAATGGAGAATCGCCTGTACTGGTCTCGTGACACTATTGAAGCCACTGCGGCAGGTGAGGTAATATACATGCTATCTTCCTAATTTAAAAAATAAATTAATTCATAATACCCGCTGAAATGGGTTGGGTTTTATGACGTTTGATCCAGAAAGGCGTGTTAGGGGTGGGGTCTGGGGCAGCGCTGTGGGGCTACTGGCCCGGCAGTGGAAACGCAAGCCCGGTGCTTGAGGCCCGAGGCCACTAGCTCGGCTCGGCTCGCTGTTAGCTCTGGCCCAGCCCTAGCCCGGCAGTGGAAACGCGGCTAATGTGACCATAACCTTTGAATACTAGAACGAGAGACTGAAAGAGTGAGACTTTGAGAGAGACAATGTCTCAGACAAGGTAACAATTACTGTCTTTGTGGTGTTTCCTCAGGAGTGATGGCTGATTATCTATGACCTTCAGCGATAAAACATGTGCATACTCCAGAATGAGTGGGCAGGACTGTCCCTCATTTATTCACATTTTCTCTTTCACTTTGCTATGACATGACTTTCAGAGTCTCAAAAATATCTCCCTCTGGATAGATAAGCTTGTTTTGCTCACTCTCTCTTTGCCTAACTGATCTAAATGTGCATTGGATAGCTCTTCACCGCCTCACGAGCCTTCTTTAGAAAACATACTCACTCATACACACAGTGACACGCCACACAGACAAGGACTCAACCATTAATACACACCCTTATATCGAGCAAGGTAACTCTCACATGAGATATTTTTTGTGTGTGTGTGTGACTGTGTGTGTGTGTACAGTGAACCTTTGGGGGTTCACACTTGACCAATTTTACACTTTTCACACTAGTGCTACAAAAAACTATTTACGGTGCATGAGATAAAGGACAAATGATTGCAAATCAAAATCATATATTATTTTAATCATATGTGTTACTTTGTTTTTCTCTGATTTCAGATGTACATTACATTTACAGTGAAAGCCAAAGGAACCCGTCTGGCTAAACCAGTCATGTCTTTGGGCCTGATGTGCCTGGCCTTTCTAACGGGTATCAACAGGGTGGCGGAGTATCGAAACCATTGGTCTGACGTCATCGCCGGGTTTATCATCGGCGTGGCCATCGCCACCTTTCTAGTAAGTTTTTCAAGTGTTTCATTTTCCGGGTGTGTATTTCTGTCAGACTCTTTGCAAACATATAATCTAATAGTTGACACAAAATGAAAGTTCTGTCATGATTTACTCACCCTCATGTCATTCCAGACCTATATGATTTTCTTTCTTTTGTGGAACATAAAAATAAGATGTTTTGCAGATTGTCCCTGCTGAACTTTTCTTTACAGTTCCCGTTTATGGGGATGGGAAGTGAAAAGCTCCTATGTATGTAGTCCATTAGGCTTATGCACTATATTTAGGGTTCCATGGAAAACATGGAAGAAGTAATGATCCGGCCTATTTATATAGTATATTATGTATTATGGATAATATAAGTTTACGACTTTTTATCTCAAATTCTGACTTTTTTTCTCACAATTACAGGTTTCCATCTCACAATTCTGACATTTTTCTCAGAATCGCGAGATATAAACTCGCAATTGCAACTTTATATAAATCAATTATGAATTCTGTAAACTCGCAATTGTGAGAAAAAAAAGGCAGAATTGTGAGGTAAAAAAGTCGCAATTACTTTTAGTATTTTTATTCTGTGGTGGAAACAAGCTTCCATAATTTATTCATAATTGTGTTTTACATCATTTTTTCATTTTAGTTTAAATGTTAGCGATTTTGTTAACAATGTGCTTTTGTCCTTTTTGAATATTTCTCTTAAGCTTTTTTTTTTAGTTTGATTAATTGTAGTACTTCTACCAAAACTTATTTAAATGTTTTAAATATTTAAATAGTCATAATAAAAGTTTAATATTTATCATTTACTTTATTTCAGCATTATTTCATTCAATTGATTATTTTTGTATATAGTTTGTTATAGTTAACAATAGTGACACTGATTATATATATGTTTGTGTGTGTGTATAGCTAACATATTGTGAACTAAAAAAGTAATTGGATTTTATGAATACAGTATATATTTTTTTCATTTAGTAATCATAATTAAATAGAAAAGCCATAGAAACTCACTTTTCAAAATGTGTGGGAATCCTTCTCATGTAAGACTTGTAAAGCCATCCAGTAGTTTTATAACTAGCAAACTATGAGGGTGAGTAATTGATGACTGAATTGTCATTTTTTTGGTAAACTAACACGAGTGACAAGCATGGAGTTGAGTGGCAGAAGTCCAGAGCAAATTACATACAGCTCATTTCGCAAGGATAACAGGATAGAGAAAGGATAATGTTGGCTGGTGGGAAGCTAAGTAGAAGAATCGCTCACATACTGACATTATAGACATACAGCCCTGTTGCAGACCCTCTGCTCTGGGCCTCTTTTTGCTTTAAAGCCAATTGTGTTGTGTAGAGCTGCCAAATCTAGCAAGATGGATTTCACCCTCATTCCACCACCCACATCTGGGCACATCATGATACAGGCTTCATCTCAGGACACGGGAGCTTAGAGCAAATGCTAATGTGTTTGTGTCCTCTTGAGTCCAACCCCTTAAGGATTCCATGGGTTTTAGAGCACTATAATCTAGCAGAGTGACTCTTTTTTGTTGCTGAACTGGTATGTGGTGGGCGTTCTGGCGCAATATGGATGCAGTCGCATCATCCAGTTGGATTGGATGCTGCACATTGGTGGTGGTTGAGGAGACCCCCCCCCCAAACCCCTCCCCCCCACTTCTATGTTAAGTGCTTTGAGTGCAGAGAAAAGCACTATACAGTATGTATTAATGTAACAAATTAAACTGCAAGTGCATATTTTGTTTCTCTAAAGACTTGGATCAAGTTATTTGGTCTAGAAAAAAATGGCATATTTTGGGATTAAAAGGAAGTCCATGAAATTGAACTTCACATGGCATGATGGGGTGAGAAAATAGTGAAATGGGGAACAGAGAAATCTGGAATCAAGACCTCCTCACCTGTAGCCTTATTCTTCAGTGCCTGTTTCTGATACATGTATAAAAATAATAAATAAGAGATCTCTTGACAAAGTAACCGATTCAACAATAATGGGGGGAAATGATTTTCAAATCTACATTTGTCTTCACTTCAGCAAGCTCTGCTAATGAGAAAGTCCACTGCTTGTGATTAATATTTAAGCATTCAAATGTGTTTTCTTAATGACAGCCTCCAGCCCAATGTGCAGATAAGGCCTGATTTAAGGTAATGTCCTGAAAGAAGAGATGAAAGCCTCTCTCTGATCCCAAACCCAGAAGCTATTAGCCACAAAGACTGTTTAGTGTCAGACAAAAGGAACTTTGTAGAGAGCTATGATATATCATTAGCAAAGCTTTGGTGTCATTTCATGTGAAGATTTTGTCACAAAAACTCTGTCGAAAGATTTCCCTCTTCAACGATCAGAGAGTGAATTAAATAGTTGAAAAACATTTCATAACCCCTGTCTAACTTCATTTCAGTCTCTGTCAAGATAAAGAAAAGTATTCCTGAATGGTCTCACAGAGATTTCTTTTATAATGAACTGTCATACTGAGCTCTTTAATGACTATTTGATTGACTTCAGCTAATAATATGTCTGGGAATAGGCAGTGTTGGCGCTGAACAAACATTGTGGTAGTGGGGTTTTTGTATTGGAGGATTTTGATTCAGTGGCATGTCAGAACTATGAGAGACTATCCAGACTGATCTCATGAAATGCTGATGTATGACACGCCAATTCGTATTTCCATTTTCGGCATGCTATCAACACGCATAATCGCGTTTCAGCGTGTTTATGAACGCCGTTGACTTAACGTTACATTACTGTATAAATATATGACCTACCCCAACCCCGTCCCTAAACCTACCCGTCACTGGGGGTTAATACCATTTATGAGTCTTCCCCTACCATCCTAGGAAAAAAATATCGCTCCCCAAATGTAGATCTACATTTTGCTTCGCTTCGTTTCGTAACATTTAACGGTGTGTTCATACACGCGGAATCACTCGGACATTTACCGGCGTGTACATATAGGCGGAATCACCTAAGTTTGTGTACGAGTGCCGAAATCATCTGTAGCAGGCATTAGGCAACTATGGATATTGCTTTGTGAATACAAAGAAACAAGAAAAAACCTGTCATTATAAACCTGTGTGATTTCTTTTCTTCTTTAGAACAAATAAAACAAATGCACAATCTTGCTGGCATAACAGCCTGTCTTGAGAAAGTGTTCATCACTGCTGCAAGGCCACTATGGATCCTCTCCGGCAACTAAGATCGTGATTTATGAAAACAGTTAGCTGCCGTTTTGTTGGGAGGTAATGCACAAAGAATCATGTGATTGGCTGACACGCTCCAATTATTGAAATTGCTTGCGCTAAGCTTTCTCGTCGCGTCAGGAGCTCACTCTACAAGATATCAGCCTCATTTATACCATGATGGGTTAGTGATTCAAACACGCTCTGTTTAGCTGGAGATCCTGAAGCTGCATATGTGACAACAGAATATAAAGTACCAACAGAATGTGTGACCTAGTTTGGCCCTTTGGCTGCTGTGTTGGAGCTTTTTATTAATATCATCAACAGCTTTTGCACAGAAGTCGGAAAAGCAGATGCTCAGCAACATGCACATTTAGATTTAGAAATATATACAGCAAGCTGTGCAAGCAAAACACACAGTGAGGGTTTATGTAAATCTTAATTATAAAGCTCTTATGTGTATCTTTGTCTATCTATCTATCTATCTATCTATCTATCTATCTATCTATCTATCTATCTATCTATCTATCTATCTATCTATCTATCTATCTATCTATCTATCTATCTATCTATCTATCTATCTATCTATCTAATTATAGATAGCGGCTGTGTTCCTCTTATGGGTTGACGACTCACAAGACTGCCAACTAAATTACTATTATTTCTTTCTTCTCTCTTCTCACTGTGACACTAGATTGTCCCTGACTGTGCACTACACACTGGCTTTGTATTAAGTGTGTGTGCTTTTATGCTGTTTGCTCCATTTACAATGCAGCTGTATTGTGTTGACTCTGTATTCCAGATCTTCAACACATTTCTTCACAATCCTTACATTCACCACTGCTTTCACCTAATTTATATTTTGCTTGTTACTTTCTTTCATTGTACACTGGCATATTTTACTCTGCCATATTTATTTTTTGCACAAAGTCTACTTAAAATCTCAGTTAATTTAGTTGCATTTTTTTATGTTTTCAGGTGGTGTGTGTGGTCCATAACTTCAAAGGCAAACATCTGCTGAATGATGATCCCCCACAGGACAACCTAAGTGACAATCCAATGGTCAGCTCGCCCAGGGTTGAGAGTCCATTGGAGAAGTACATCGCCTCACAGGTACTGACAAAAGCGCAGCTGAAATCTGTGGATGCTGTCAAATAAACTGACACACAGTACATGGCCTGTGTGCAGAGTGTTGAATCCGCTCTCAAGGGTCCCAATTGTGTCAGTTTGAGCACTCTTATCAACAAGATGTGTATCCATTCGCTCCTGTCCCTCAGGTGACAGAACTGAGAATGGATGACGAGGAGCCCCACACTCTGAAAGACCGTCTCCTGAGTTTCTTTAGCTGGATCACAGGCAAAAGCAGCCGCTTCAGACACCTGCAGAACACAAGGCAATAAACGTATGCGCACCTGTGTGAGGAGCTCAGGCTGCCAAACCTCTGGAGTACGACGACACGTCATTAAATCCCAGTTAAAACCCAATCATGTTCATTTCAAATGAACAAAGCAATTACCTGTACTTAATTACAGTGTACCCAGAGCGTTGGCATCTCCGGCTGCATGTTTTCAAGTCCTTTGCAGTTCAGTCTTTGTGGTTGCATCTGATTTTGTTCTGAACTTAAATGTATACAGTATGTATATGTAGGATTTAGAGATGTAGCATATGGTCATGCAGAATAAGACATTAATATATGCTTAAAACGTACTTATAAATGGCCAATATGCTTGTAATTTGCAAGCTAATAAGCAACTAGTTAGTAGTGAGAATTGTTCCCCAAACTAAACTGTTACCCTTATTTTTAATATTATTAAAATATTAAAGGTATGACGCAATAATTATATATTTTTAAAAGGGCTGTCAGTTAAACGCGTTATTAACGGCGTTAACGCAAACCCATTTTAACGGCGTCATTTTTTTATCGCGTGATTAACGGTCTTCTTGGCCTAGCAAACTTTTTAGTATTTTTTCATATTTATTAACAGGACGCGGCATGCACGAGGACGTTTTGTTGCTTCGTCGACCAAAGCGCAAGCGGATCTAGCTAGACTGGAAACAAAACCACAGGCACGCCGCACACACTTTTTGGGCTTGCGAGCCGGCCAAATAGTAGGTTAACGTTACGTTTTGAGTGCATTATGAGTGCGAGACGCCGAAATGTATGCCAATAAGATTCTGAATGGAAACTTTACTTTACTAAAAAGTTGCAAAATGGTTCTATTGACAAGACCAAAGTGATCTGTGTGTTTTGTCGTTGTGAACTATCATCATCGCTGCACGTCCTGTCTGAAATACCACTTGATGGCCAAGCACACACACACACACACACACACACACACACACACACACAGCTGATGTGAATTCTCCGCCCCCTCGTCAATATCAGGACCTCGTCACCTATTTCTTTCACCCTTTTTTTGATGGACAGTGTTACATTGTGTGAGAGATTATTTGCTCCAAGTGAGAATGTTAGTGTGAATTTGAACACAGTATATGCCAATGTTATTTTCAATAAAAAATATTTCCACAAAGCAAGCCGATCCACTTTTCCATGTTGATAAGAGCATTATAATGAGAAAAAATATAGGGACAAAAAGAAATCAAGAGACATTTAGAATAGATAAAAATGTGCGATTAATCGTGAGTTAACTATGATATTAATGCGATTAATCGCGATTAAATATTTTAATCGTTTGACAGTACTCATTTTAATTATTGTCATATTTTTAAGTATTCATTATTTATTTGAAAAACCCATTAATACGCCGAAACATACCACTTTAATAGATCATTTTTTTAAGGATAGGGGCCTTTATTGAGGTTTTTTGTTTGTACACTGGGAAAATTCAATTGATACTCACTACGAGACTTACATTTTTTTGCAATATACCTGGGAGTCATGTCATTTGAAGCTTTTTCTAATCTAATAAGGATTCCTTGCACGCACATTTGCTTCCAGTTTGTTTTCTTTCATAGCCGGTGCCCCGAAATCCTTTTAAAAACCTGATCTGAAACCTGGTGTTGGTGTTTGAGATGAGTGACCTAAAAACTCTTAGCAATTCCGCACCTCGAATAGAAATCGAAACGCACTACTAAGCCCTCAAAGACGTGAAAAACCTCCATTCCTGAGTCTGCATTTAGCACCCTAGCAGCCGTTATCCCCCATGGCAGAGTCAGACTTCGTGTTCAGCTTTTAATTAAGCCACAGCCCACCTCTGAGATCCAAAAGACTGTAATTAAACTGCAACTATGGCCCTTTAAACGTTTCTTTAAGCATTTTGCATGTAAGCAAATGAGAGAATAATTTAATCCCAGCTTGCCGTTTTGATTTCTCGGCAGAATATGAGGGATTAAAGGTTGTTCTTGTTTGCTTATTCAGCTGCAATGAACCATTTGGGAACAATGTCGGTTCACAGATGGTTTATTGAAATGCAGAGAATGAATGTGTAGGATATTGAAGGCACTTTCCTCCAATAAAAATGCTAATCTTCTGTTTCTTCTTTAGTCAAGGGTGCCAATTGAAAATAGTTATTTGTGATATCAGTTGATCCATGTAGATATGGTTTGGATGCAATAATGCCCCGTGAGGTTTCTGGGATGGATGGAAAACAGACAATTGCACTTTGCTTTCTGCCGAAATATCCCCCAGACAGATTGCTTTCAGAAACCATAATGCTGTTGAAAGTGGGAGGACAAGGCGAGGAAAATCCACATCTCTGTTTTGTCTCTTCAAATCACAGAGACTTCAGGATCACGGCAAATATGACTGGAAGCTAGAAATAATTTGCTTGGGAAAATCCGCCTCGGATTCTCTGCTGTGGTCGCGGTGTACATATCAGCGATATGACCTGCGGAGCGCCGATCGCTCTTCATATTTTCTGAATCTCTGATGAACTCTCCATTTACAGCTGTATTATTTATCCATTTTCTAACTCAGTGTGTAGTTTTTCAGCACTGTGTACTGTTAGCTATCACTCTAAATTATTCAGCAGAATCCCTTTCAACACCTATATGTATACCTGTGTGACTCATGTAAGAAACAGAACATTTCGTTTCAGAGTAAAGTTTAAATTGGAGTCATACACCCCATCAGTTTTGACTGAAACAATCCATCTTCTGGTTCTGAGGACTCATTTTCTTTCAGATTAGACCCACATACTGGTATCATTAGGTTAAACAGAACCTATATATGAAGAGTTCAGATGCAAAAGCCTCTAAATGCCATTTGCAATTTTCTTCTTTAATGATGATTTTTGTCAAACTTGTATATTTAAGTTCAGTAATTTCACTTATATAACAATTAATAGGTAATTATGATTGCCATTTAAGTGAAATCACTGAACTTAAATATAAAAGCTTGACAAAAATCATCATTAAAGAAGAAAATTTCAAATGGCATTTAGAGGCTTTTGCATCTGAACTCTTCATATATATACAGTATATATGAAGAGTTCAGATGCAAAAGCTTCTAAGTGCCATTTGAAATTTTCTTCTAAAATTACCATTTTTATCAAGCTTGTATATTTAAGTTCAGTAATTTCACTTAAATGACAATTAATAGGTAATCTTCATTGCCATTTAAGTGAAATTACTGAACTTAAATATACAAGCTTGATAAGAATGATCATTTTAGAAGAAAAATTCAAATGGCACTTAGAGCTTTTGCATCTGAACTCTTCATATATATATATATATATATATATATATATATATATATATATATATATATATCATTACAACCTGGAACACACGAGTGCTCATATCAGACATTTTGTACTTGGTTGACTACATTTGGTTTGGACCAACAGTAGGTTTGGTTTGTTTTTTTGTGTGAAACCTGATTATGAATTTTGATGCACAACAAGGAACCGTACACAGGTCTGCTATTTTTTTTTTGTATAATGCGATTGCTGTATCAACACAATTTGCCTTTAGTAAAATATCAATGTGCGTGTTAAAACCAAAGAAAAAAACACTAGCATTCAAACGTTTGGGCTCAGGAAATTTTTAGTAACACTTTATTTTGATGGTCCACTTCTACTAACTACATTTTAACCACATATTATAGGGATACTCCACCGTTTTTTCATATTAAACTATGTTATTCCCTTAACTAAGACGAGTTGATACATACCTTTCTCGTCTCAGTGCGTGCACTCAATCGCTCTGGTGCGCAAGGCACTTTGATAGCACTTAACTAGCCCAGTTCATTCAATATGGGCCAGGCAGAGAAACAACCAAACACCTCCACGTTTTCCCTATTTAAATACAGTTACACCAGTAGAGTAACTCGACAAAGAATGGTGACAAACTAAAACGTTGCAGTTTTCTAAGCGTGTAAAATGGATAACTATAATGTATGGCGGAATACCACAGCAAGTGCTTGGGAGCACTTCGACTCGGTGTAGTAATATCATCACTCGTGAAAAGTCCCGTTGTGATATATGCGCCGAGTCGAAGTGCTCCCAAGCACTTGCTGTGGTATTCCGCCATACAATATAGTTATCCACTTTACACGCTTAGAAAAGCGCAACGTTTTATTTTGTGTCACCGTCCTAGGTCGAGTTACACTTCTGGTGTAACTGTATTTAAATAGGGAAAACGTGGAGGTGTTTGGTCGCTTCTATGCTTAGCCCATATTGAATGAACTAAGGGTACATATCATGCTTTTAAATCATTCATTTTTACTTATAAATCATACATTTGTGGTCTATATAAAGCATAACTGCAATGCTTGGGTCTGAATTCCTCATTATTATAGCTCAACAGACCCCTTTTCTGATGTGCTTCTGTGAGCAACCCGTTTCGAAGCGGCCCCTTTAAATAAAAAGGAGTTGCGTCTTTCCCCGTCCGCTTTCCAGGTCGCTGAGTTCACGGTCAGTTCAACTCCCCTCGTTCGGCCATTATTGTAGTTTGATAAGAGATATACGATTACTATATAGCTTCAAAGAACATTTTTATTCACACGCATGATATGTCCTCTTTAAGTGCTATCAAAGTGTCTCGCGCCCCAGAGACGAGAGAGGTATGTATCAAATCGTCTTATAGTTTAATATGAAAAAACGGTGGAGTATCCCTTTAACTAGCAGTCATTAGAGTATGCTTATATCTGGTAACACTTTATTTTGATGATCCCTCAACAGACGGTTTACTGTTGATAGTAACTGGAGTATAATGACGCTGAAAGTAAAGCTTTTTATTTTTGATCAGATAAATGCAGCCTTAGCGAGCATAAGAAACGTCTTGAAATATTTTACCGACCCCAAACATTTGAACAGTAGTGCAATTTTTTTATCTTTCAATATATTTTCCTTGTTTTCCAGTAAAAATGTCTAAACATCCTTACAAAGTGAAATTGCTTCTGCAAAAGTTTTTAGAACTTATAAAATTGTATTAATAATGTTTATAATATACATAAACATTTTTATTTTAGTTGACATTGACAAATATTCATTTTTTTTTCTGTAGGCATAAATGTAAGAATTCTTATTGGAAAACAAGACAGATGTTTTTGCAGTGCATTTAGGTACAGCGCCCAACAGCTAGTGTAAATGTCCATCTCCTCAAACCTTGAGTGGAAACAGTTTGCATCTAAAAGAGTGTGTCCTCTTGCAAAGCAGATTTGATGTGTGTGTTTGATGTCCTCAAGTTTTTGCTGACGTCCTTCCTTCTGTCTAACTCTGTCAACAGAATCACATCTCCTTCGCTGAGATCACGTGACCTTGAGTCGGCAGTGTGGCAGACACACTGGACATCCACGCTGTTTACCGTCCAGTCCCGATAGTCACGGTTTAACGCTAACACAGTGGTCATGTTCTCTATGGTGTCGTTTTGGATCGCTCTGCCCTTGCTTTGTGTGTGTGGAAATCTTGGTCCCGTCTACTAATAACTGTTACCATCACGCAACTAATGACTGAAGCTTCACACTTCACATTTCCCGGACTGGCTCTGACCAAGCACTAGAGCTCAGAATATCTTAGTTGCTCACGTATATGGAGAGCATGCGTGTCTGTGTTTATGGGATTTATGGCAGGTTGATGCGAATACCTACCTGTGGAATTAAAAATGGACTTGTATTTGTGGATATGTGTTTTCTTCGTCTGCTTATATTTCAGAAAGTGTTTATTCCTATATGAATTTGTTTCTTTTTAGAGCTTGCATTGGATGAGTGAAAACATATTGAAGCCTGTTTCTGCCTCAGAGTAAACAAAAAAAGGTAATTTTGACTTTATTTCTATTTTGACTGACACTAAGTAACTTTGAACTACATGTCAACTAAGTATCATTAGAGTAATAGTAGACTGTCTGCTTAAAATCTGCTAAAACTTTATTTTGATGGAATAATTCATTATCTCATAATTGTGATTTTAAAATCTCACAGCAACATTATTTATCACAATTGTAATTATCTCTCCTAATTGCGACTATATCTCACAAGTTTCTTTCCAAATTGTGAAAATTGTCACAATTACTTTTACTAATAATTTTTAAATTTATGTCTCGCAATATGAATTTGTTTCTCTTAATTGCAACTTAAAATCTCACAATTGCAACTTTATTTCTTAGAATTGGGATTTTATATCTCACAATTGCGACTTTATTTAACATATTTGCGACTTTTCTCAAATTGTGTGACTTTATCTCACAACTACAGCTTTATATCTCATAATTGGGATTTAAATATCTGACTATTTCTTTTAATTGTGACACATTTGTGACTATTCCTTATAATTGTGACTATATCTCGCAACATTTTTCTCAAATTGTGACTTCTGTACATCACAATTTTAACTTTTACTCATATTGTGATGTATAAAATTACAATTATGAGTTTATTTCTCTTCATTGCATCTTTAGTTCTCCTAATTGTGATTTTATATCTCACAAGTTTCTTTCCAAATTGTGAAAATTGTCACAATTACTTTTACTAATAATTTTTAAATTTATGTCTCGCAATATGAATTTATTTATCTTAATTGCAACTTAAAATCTCACAATTGCAACTTTATTTCTTAGAATTGGGATTTTATATCTCACAATTGCGACTTTATTTCACATATTTGCGACTTTTCTCAAATTGTGTGACTTTATCTCACAACTACAGCTTTATATCTCATAATTGGGATTTTAATATCTGACTATTTCTTTTAATTGTGACACATTTGTGACTATTCCTCATAATTGTGACTATATCTCGCAACATTTTTCTCAAATTGTGACTTCTGTACATCACAATTTTAACTTTTACTCATATTGTGATGTATAAAATTACAATTATGAGTTTATTTCTCTTCATTGCATCTTTATTTCTCCTAATTGTCATTTTATATCTCACAATGTGACTTTATTCTTGATAATTACCTATTTTATTTTTCACTCTGAGGCAGAATTTTGCTTCCATACATGCGTAAATACACTGTGTCCACAAAAATAAGGCAGAAAATAAGCTAAAAAAAAAACTGTTGAAAGCTCACATTTAAAGAATACCAAAGCTCAGATAAATTCAAGTACTCACCTACTGAACTAGCAGCAAAAAAAGCAGTTCCAGATCCATTGGTTAGAGCCAAGTTATGAGCCAAGACTCAACTTTACCCAGTGGCCAATGGACATTCACAGTGAAGCTGTGCTCAAACCGTGATCACCCAGCTGTGAAAGACAGATCATCTGCTAAGACAATCATCAGCCATCTCACTAGAATAATGAGTCGGTCCATTAAACCAGTGCTTGACATAATGATACTCGCATAGGGATTTGTTTCACACTGTTTTAATTGCCAGCAAACCTTTCATAGATGAACGATATTGTAAATGTTGAGGAAATAATGATTCAGAAAGCCTCTTTTTCTCCTGTGATACTTAAAAACAAACCATGATACCTCATGTGTAAAGTTGTGGTTATACATTTTATTTGAAAAAGATACAGTTCTGTGCTTATTTATATTTCAGATCTCTGGCCCTGTGTTTCAGTCATGTCATGGTGCCGTTTAAAGGAATATTCTGGGTTATCTTAGATCAATGTCTACATCTAGCATTGGTTTAATGCTGTAAATGATGACTAATTCAAGTTGTCCTTCATTTTGTAAAATGTTCATTTTGTTGTGTTTAGAGTAAAACACTTAAAATGGAGGATTATTAGTTGCGCCTACAAATTATTCAGTAAAAATGTGCTGTTTGAGTTGTCCAAGAAGCTTTTTTGATGTGGTATGTACTTTTTTTAGGTTGAGGAACTGGTTGTGTTTCTGAAGGTGTAGTTTGCAGGACTCTTGCTCCTCAATTTACAGTATATTACTGTAAACTATTGCTTTTTTAAATTATTCTGTGTGGTAATCGACACTACCGTTCATAAGTTTGGGGTCAGATTTTTATTTTATTATAATAAAATATTATTTTATTCCGCAAGGATAAATTAAATTGTTTAAAAGGGACGGTAAAAAAACCCATAAATAATGTTACAAAACATTTCTGTTACAAATAAATGCTTTTAATTCATTAAACATTCCTGATTTTTTTATCATGGTTTCCATAAAACCATTAAGCGGTTTTCAACATTAGTAATAATAATTTCTTAAGGAGCAAATCGTCATAAATATAATGATTTTTGAAGGATCATGTGACACTAAAGACTGCATGATACTGAAAATACAGCTTTGCATCACAGGGATAAATTATATCTAATAAAATATTAAATAATGGCAGTTAATATAAATGTATAAAAGTATTTTTTTTTTAAAGTTTAATAATAAAAAAAGTGTAATAATATTTCACAATATCACAGGTTTACTATATTTTTGATCAAATAAATGCAGCCTTGGTGTTCATGAAATACTTTTTTCCATAAACAGGAAAAAAAAAAAAAAAAAAAAAAACGTACGACCCCAAACTTTTCAAAGGTGGTGTATGTTATCCAAGGGCCGGATTATGGTCTCACAAGCCCATAAAGTAACCCAGAAGATTCCTAAATATATGGTTGCCCTTGTCCTGCTGATGTGACCGATCCTTAAAAGAGCAATAATGTGTTTCTCCTCATCTCATTCCTTGAAAATTCCTATTTGGCTTCACCTCAAATGATATCTATTTTTTATTTGTATTATTATATATACATATATAATATATTGGTGTGATAAATGGTATATATTCCTAAAGCACTAAATAAATTCTAAATGAAAGCGATCAGCATCTGCAGCAGTATTAAAATGAAACATGGTGTGTACAGTGTAAATGCACATGACTGTAATTTTTGTCTGAGATTATCGATGTTTATTTTTTTTATGTTTGTGCTGTACATGTATGTGTGGCTGGGGGTTTGTGGGTGTACGATGGCATACTGTAAGTACATATTGTACTGTATTTATCATTGACATTCTTTGGTCTTAGCTGTGGTATCACACTGGTTTACTGTGTACAAATGGATGTTTTTATATTTATTTTAAGTTCTATGTTTTATAGCTTGCGCAGACGTTTTGGTTGTTAAAAGATGTTCTTTCAACCTCCAAAAGCTTTTTTTTTAACTTCTGATTCCTATATTTTCTCCTCCCATCCCACCTCGAAAATTCCTGAATGGTTTATTTGAATATGGATTTACCACAAAATCAACGTGAATCCATGAATTCATGACCTTTTACACTGTAGAGACGATAAAAATTAAAGTTTGACTAAAAAAAATATATTCTGAAGCCTGTGGTGTTTTTCTTTGGCCGGCACTTCACTGATATGTACGGACTATAATAAAGCAAAGGACGTCTTATATTGAAAGCTCTCAGAAGCGTTTAAAGAGCCCTGTGGGATCTCTGGCCCCTGACTTCTGAAATATTGCCTGGTTTGCTCTGGAGAACCTGTAAAATATGAGAGAAAGTGACGTGGTATGGAGGTGATTCAGTGTTCTTCGGCCATCCTAACTGATACCGAATGTCCTGAGGAGACACAAACAGACAAACAAGCAATCAGGAAAGATGGAGCGTTTTTACAAGCCCACATTTGTTACTGTCACTCAACAGGGTTAAAGGGAACATCTCTTTCTCTCTCTTTTCTCCCCACATCATAAGGATTGATTCTTTTCCTAAGGGAAACACATTCCGCTGCACTGAGATTCCCTCCTTTTTTATATCTCCAATCTGACTGCTCTCCTGAAACCACTGACAAACTACACACACGCCACGTGGGCTTAGGAGAGTGTTTTATCTTTTAAGAACTTATTTTAAAGCTAAATCTAATGCTGAAAATGTAATAAAGCAGGGCATGAAAATCACACTGATAGCTAAAGGTTCATTGGGGGTTATGCCGAGCGCCCAGCCATGCGCCCAGCGTTCAAACCGGAAAACGGGTATAAGCATTTCCGGTTTGCAGTAGCTAGTTAGGTGATCGCTGGGTTTTTTTGTTTTTTTTTAATTATAAATTAAAACTAAGCTGTCGGACAATTTCGAATTTGGATGCGAAAATTAGATGAAATTTTTCGCCCTTTCCTGCCTTTTTGAACCGGACTACACAGACAGATAACTGAGATGACGTGACCATGGACGTGACGCGTGACGTTTCCATCGAGGCCTGGCGCCTTGCATACGGCACAACATGAACAACTGTGGTTAAAAAGTATATAAATGTTTAGTATTTTTAGAAAATGAACAATGGTTTCGCTAGATAAGACCCCATTCTCCAGCTGTGATCGTGCAGAGGCTTAGAAGCACTTCAAAGACTTTTGAAACTGCATTCTTTTGGACTTCAACATGTTGCTTGTGATTAACTATGAGGTAAGGATTTTATTCTTTTATACCTTCATAATCATGAATAAATGAGGAGGCGTAAACTTAAATCCTTTGTTTAACATAGTATTCAGGGCTCTGGAAGTCCGATTGGCAATTAGGTGTACATTAGCTCCTGTAAACACCAGCTATAAATGTCGCCAACTACGCTGTGTTTAACGTTACACTAGTGTTTACCTCAGTAGCTGACGACCGGAAGTAGTTATACCTTTGCTTTCTTGATATGCTTTCCTGGTTTATTTGTACTTGTTTTGTTAGGGTAAGTTATTCTAAAGAAAGAAAAAAGGCTATAAAGCTCCGCTGCTTAAATTTCCTTTTAGGCATGGAAAATAATAAACAATTTCCAAATATCTTTATAGCTATATATACTATACTATACTATACTATACTATACTATACTATACTATACTTGCTTTATAGCTATACTATAATAGCTATACTCAAGGTAATGTTGGTAGTATAATGAAGTTTTAGTAGCCTAATTGTATTTCATAATATAATTCTATAATGGAGGCATTGAGTTTTCATCGTCAGGCCGATACATTGCAATGCACTGATGCTTTTCTAACCATATTTCTATAGTTCAGCATGCCCTCCAAAAGCCAATACCACAACAGAAGCGCTTTATTTTTAGAGTCTAAATTGCTCCTGTAATACTTGGCAGCTAACAATAGCTACAAGTCCATGTCTCATTTATCTGGAATCAAATAGGCTGATTGTGTAACAAAATCATTCATTTCTGTTTACCACGAAACGGGTCGATATCTTTCAAACAATCAATCCGCACTGCATGTTTCCCAGTGTGAACAAGCTGCCTTACTGTGTCACATTGTTTCGGTTTTCATTCAGTTCGCACAATTGGAAAGTTTGGCCTTTGTGGTTTAGAGACGAGGTGTTCGAGTCAGGACATTGATTAGCTGACGTGTCTGAGAAAGATTTGTACAGAAAACAAATTCGGGAATCTCAAAAGCAGCAAAATGGTCTTGCCTTTTAGACCTAAAAGACCTTTTGTTTTAGAACATCAACCTAGGGAAGCTTGTTTCTGTCACGGAATAAAAAATAACATATCTCACAATTCTGTTTTTTTTTTTATTTTTTTAATTATTATTATTTTATACCTTGCAATTGCAAATTCTAAACTCGTAATTGCGAGTTTACATCTTGCAATTCTGACTTTTTCCCACAGGTAATGCTGCGTTCATGGCATGTCATACTCATAGGTCATACTTAATACTAATTACAAAATGACAACGTGACGTTCTCTAAGCTGTTGTTGGACTTAGAATTGTGCTTTTTTATGACAAAATTAATTGGCAGTGGTCAGGTGGTACAGAGGTCGCATGATATAAGTGGGAGCTCTCAGAAAATTCCCAGTTTACAAGCTGTAATGAGTTCTACGACAACGTAAACATGGCAATTTTATAATTACAATAATTACGACATGGCATGAACGCACCTTTACATCTTGCAATTCTGACTTTTTTTTCTCCAAATTTTGTGAACATCTTGTAATTCAGTTTTCTGCCATGGAATAAACACATAAAAATGTTTTGTTCTCTCACAAATGTGAGTTCACATCTCACAATTCGTACTTTTCTTCTCCGAGTTACCAGTCAACATCTAGCAATTCTGACTTTTTTCCTCAGAATTGTTCGGAAAAAGTCTGAATTGCAAGATATAAACTCAGAATTGTAAGGAAAAAGTCTGAATTGTGAGATATAAACTCAGAATTGTGAGGTAAAAGTATGAATTGTGAGATAAAATCTCAGAATTGTGAGGTAAAAGTGTGAATTGTGAGATATAAATTCAGAATTGTGAGGAAAAAGTCTGAATTGTGAGATTTAAACTCAGAATTGTGAGGTTAAAGTATGAATTGTGAGATATAAACTCCGAATTGTGAGGTAAAAGTCTGAATTGTGAGATATAGGCTAAACTCTGAATTGTGAGGAAAAAGTCTGAATTGTGAGATATAAACTCCGAATTGCTGAGGAAAATGTTTTTGTTCCATTGTGGAAACAGGTTTCCATCAATCTTACCCCAATTGCATCAGAAAACTGTCTCCGCTGTCCTTTCTGTTTCCTGTCGGTGTTCTGTGCGAGGTCTCCCACTGGACTGTGTCTCATTCGTGGTTGGAAAGGACTACAGAGGCATTCATACTGATTTTGTAGTCCTGAGAGACTGTAGATATTGTACAGGTCTTTGTGATTCGGTAACGGTTGGAGCTTCTGTTCCCCATGACTGCCCTGTACCTGAGTCCCTCTGTAACCTCTTACTCGTGCCACTCTCCGGATCACCACCCTGTGTCTGGCTGCGGTTGGCAGGCCATCGGCGGGCAATGACGACCCGAGGTGTGCCACCTTAGCCAGGTGCCGATGGCTCCATTCAAGTTTTTTTCCAGATGCCTCTTTCCGAAAAGCTTCAGGACTCCTTGTTTCGTGGCTTGCCTTGACAAATCCGTCGCACCGCCAGCCTTTGCTTTCCACCGTCATTTGTTCACGAGACGTTTCCGGAAGCCACTCTATCATTGGCAGAATCCTGCTTACCTCTACGATATGTACTTGCATTGAGTTCTCACTGGCAATATTTTGTCTCTGGGTCTTTGAATCGCTAGATTCACTGGGATTTATGGGTACACAGCTCGCGTCTGGTGCACTTGATCTCTCACTGGTAATGTTCACATTCAGGTTGGCAGATTTAGCAGGGACAAGAGTTATTTGTGATGCTTTCCATCTTGAGTTTGCTCTATCTGATGCATTTGATCCAGATACACACGACCTGGGCTGAGCGAATAAATGAGGGGACAAAATGAAGTTCTTCTCATCCAAGTAACTGCATTTGTGCCTAACCTTCTGTTTAGAGTCCCGGTATCGATGAAATCCACTTTTATCTGTTAAAAAAAATAAGTAGGGGGTGGGGGAAATTAGTGTAAAATGCGAACAAAAAAATCAAGTAAAAATGTGAAATATTACTAAAATTTAAGTGAACTTTCTATGTGGATAATATAATTCATTGATGTGATGCAAAGCTGAATTTCCAGCATCATTACTCCAGTATTCAGTGTCACATGATCCTTCATAAATCACTCTAATATTCTGATTTGCTGCTCAAGAAACATTTATTATTATTATCAATGTTTAAATCAGTTGTGCTACTTAATATTTTGTGGGAACCATGATAAAATAATAGCTATTATTTGAAACAGAAAATAATTCAAATAAATCATACTCATCCAAAGAGTTGATTGTATTTGACCTCACGATTAACTTCTCAACTCATGAATACAAACAGATAATGATGGGAAATGTAGTTTGGTCTCAAAATTCTGTGTCCTGATGAAAGAGCCAAATAAGTAGTGTTTTCTGGAAAGCTTTATTACTATTCTTCATTGCTACTTCAATTGTATATAGGTGCAAATTAGCACACTACCACTTTTTGAACTAATTTTGCAAACGCTCCTACAAAAGGATAACTGGAAAGGCTTTGGATGATCTATTACTAACTGCAACACGCCTGCCGGTCATTTTTAAGTAATCCTGTGAACCCTGAAAATTTTTGTCATTTTTTTGTGTTTTGAGAGCATCCTCACATGCATTTGAGTAAAGATAAACATTATTGTTTAACATGGTTATTTCTATAACATAATAAGTGTTAAAGTCCCTGTAAAGTCAAAATTAAGTATGTGTTCTGAGTTTGTCACACCACAGAAAAATGTGTTATTAGCCACCCAGCCAAATTTGAATGACACATAAAATAAGCTATCAAAATCTTGAAAAAATGAGCAGTTATCTCTGTTCTCAAACGCTGGGGGCGTGTCCGCTGGCTGCGTTGAAACCACGCCCACTCGCGGGAAAGCTGTCGACGGTGATATCTGATACTGCTTTCGGGACGGGAGAATGAACGCTGAGGCGGGAGAGAGATCGCGGTGAGATCGTTTGTGCCCCGTTCACCAGCAACAGCTGATTATCAGTGAATCCCAGTTGTCTCTGAGGAAAGTTTATAAAACGATCCCGTGTAAAATGATCACTTCAGAGTCGGGTGTTGGCGGTGATCCTCAGCTCTTCATCAAGGTTGGCTCTCTAAAAACCTCTTCTTGATGTGATCGTTTTTAGGGAATTTAAATAAAGATACCGATCTGTTTTGTATGATCGCATTCAGGTAGTGGCCTATGCATTTCTGTGTTGAAGGCATAGCTAGCTAGAAAACTGTAGCAAACTCAGCTGTAGTAACTAATAGTACTGACAGTCACTCGTGATTGAGCGGTGAATGCGAATGTGATCAAATAGGGGTGTGTCCAGGAGCTCATGGGCTCCGGTGCGTCATCGAGCCCTGTTTTAGCCCCGCCCAAACAATCCGTAAAATTGAAATGGTGAAAAACTGTTTAGCGGTCTAACTGTACATTTCAGTACTTCACAGTTCACAGTCTTTGTAATATGTTTTAGCAATACACATGTAACATTTATAATGTGTTTAGAACTTTTTTCTAGAATTGCCTTTACAGGGACTTTAAACACTCCCCCTATCATGGGTCTTTAGATGTCCCCGGGGCTGCAATACAAATGCCGTGAGGTCTGAGCTCTGTTCGGTCGATGATTAATCACAGGTCCGGTTTTTAAATGTCAAGTCTGACCCCAGCGTGGCCCGGCTCTGATCGATGTCCCACTCTACGGCCATCTTTCAGAAAGCGGCGCCGACGCTGTGGGACTCAGCATGACTCACTGTTTGCTTCAGAGAAGGTGAGTGGTGAAGGATTTAAATGCAAATGTGCTCAACATCTAACTTTTGGTGAGCAGGGAGAGATCCATAATCTGAGACCACTAACTAAAATGTGAGATTAACCATATACCTAAACCTAACCCTACCCATAGCTTATCCTTAAAATAAGTGAGTAACACTGATGTTGAAGCAGTAACCCTGGTTGACATAAACCGCAAACTTGTCCCTCAAATCTGATTGGTTGATTGGAATGATGTTTCAAGATCCAAGGTTGTGTTTTACTTGGTGAAATCAGGTTCTGCTGTCTGAACATGCTTTAAAATAAAGGTTCTCCATTAGTTCTTTAGTTGAAAATAATCGTTTTTTAGGTTTTTTTTCTCAGTTTGAAAGCAAGAAATAAGGTAGAATCTTACATATTTTGTCTGTGTTTGCCATAGCTTTAAAAAAAAAAGAAATCCAATTTTTACTATGGTGGTAGATTTAAACAACATCTGGCTTATATTTTCTCCCATGAGACCTCTAATGTGCAATATTAATGTTTTTCACAACATTTTTAGAAGATGCTAATTTCTGGAGTTTGGAAAAATATTACAGATATGCACTATTATAAGCTTTCATTTTCCTTGTCAGCTAGAATGTTTTCACACATAAATAATTTATTAATAAGTAAGGTTAATTTGCGCATAAAAATATATTTATTATAGATGTATATGGAGAAATATTATTAGGGTTATAATAATGTATCTACAAGTGAAAAAAAACAAAAATTACCTAAAAAAATGCATCCTGTACACAGCTTCCAACTGATAAGCTCCAAAACACAATCCTGAATTGAATTGAGTTTGTATGGAAATGCACTGAGTGCTTTTTATGCAAATTACTAGTTGACGAACCGGCCTGATTTAAATTAACTTGGATTCACCAACAATGATGAACGATGACCATAAGGGGTTTCTGTGCACACGCACCTGTTGCATTGGAACTTTTCTGCGAGCTTAAATAAGCAATATGTGCAAAATTATCAGTATAAGGCCCAATACCATTAAAGTGGCATACTTTATCTTTGCAAGAAAAAAGTTCAAGACTAGTAAAGCTTCTTTTTTTCCCCCTCAAGAGTTCATTGCAGTGAGTTGGGTCGATAATGGTATCAGTTACCATAATTGTATATGATTTGAGCACATGACTCAATACCAGAGTGGTGCTGTGAGTGAAGTGTCATTTGTGCATCTACGGTAATAGTCAGTTGGCAGTCCTGGCTCATACACTGCCCTTGTTGACATTCGCCATGAGGCTACTTGAAGTTACTCAGAAAAAAATAAAATGCTGTGTAATTTAAAATAATAGGTGGAACAGAGAGCAGATTTAAATCCGTGATATTTCTCTGGATAAGATACTGGCCCTTAAGTCACCATGAAATCAAAATGTACAAATCTTGTTTTTAATTTAATATTGCAGTTCTTTGCACTTTTGCACCTTGCACTTTTTTCTTCTTCATTTGCCCTCATAATCTTTAATCAAAAAAACTTCCCCTTCCTCTTACAGCGATATCTCTTCTCTGATGATGTGTTTACTGGCGTGAGGAGGGGACAACCTGTCACTCACATGATATCGACCAATAGCAAATCACAGGCATCCAATCAATTCCCAATGAACAAAATTAAGTCCCGCCTATTTCTTGTTTGAAAGGGAAGAAGCAAGAAAAGCAAAGAAATTCCAGTAGCACCATAATGCAGTACATGAGATCCACGGGGAGGAGTCGGATCAAGATCCAAGGGGTGGAGATGGGTAGGATTAGGGTTGGGTTTAGGGATCAAGGGGCGGAGTTGAGTAGGTTTAGGTCTATGGTGGAAGGAGTTTGATCTGGATCCGATTCCTCCCTGTGGATTTCATGTTCCGCAGTGAGAACCATATCGGAAATTCTCCCCTTCCAGTCAAAACAATCGTAAAAAGCTCAAACAAACAAGAATTACCAGTTAAAACAGAAAAAAAACCTTTGCAAATGAAGCATGAGCTCATGTCTGTATGTAGAAACCCCTACACGCTGAGTGATTGGCAGGAAGTCGCTCTTTTCACTCTCGATACACACTGCGAGGTGATTTTGAGGCATGCTGGGTAGAAAGCTCGACTCTGTGGCAGACAAATGTTTGCGCCACACATAATGGATGGCTCCAGATCCCTACAGAGAATTCCCCATAGCAGCAGGTGAAAGCAACAGTGTAATTAGACACAGGTTCACAGGGCTGCAAACATTAAGAGAAACATTCGGCTACATCGCCTATTATCTCTTCTCCTGCTGCTTGAACTTAACCATGTTTAAGAGAACTCTGTGGGACCGTCATTCAAGACTCTGATTAGCCATTTCAGAGAGTGTATTGATTTTTCTTTGGCAGCATTTTACTCCTACCAACCAGATTCATTATGATGCAAGCCATTACTTAGTAGGTCCCCTGACTGAGGGGGCATTTACATGACCGTTTTCTACTAAAAACTGCATTTTTTTATGCGTTTTGGCTGTTCAATTACACATAACAATGGCGTTTTAGGGGCCTGAAAACGCAAACTTTTGAAAACGGTTTTGAAAGTGCAAGTTTTTGAAAACGATACCGTTATAGTCTCCGTGTAAACGACAAAAAGGGCATAATTGTGAAAACGGTGAGTGAAGTCATGCACATGCGTATTATGTGTTTTGTGTTTCTTTACAAAGTGACATCGCCAACTACTGGCCTGTCATGCATAATACAGTAGTTTTAGTCATTTTCGCAGAGCCGTGTAAACAGTTGTTGTGAAAAACACAAAGGAAAAAACGTTTCTGTTTTTAGTACGTGTAAACGTACCCTGATTATGAACGGGTTTGATTGCTTACCGTTGATTCCGCTATCCGTATCGGAACATTCCCAAGCACAGCAAAGATTCCTCTCCTCACCTTTTCTGTGGAAACATTGTGGGTTAAATGCGTAAAAGACCTGAATTTTCCAAATACATATTTTAAAAGTGTTTTTATGTTCTCTGAAAATCGAAAGATTGAAAAACAATTTTTCTAAATATCACATTTGCCCAATAAACATTTGGAGATTGCAGATTGCTGTAAATGAGAATTTGATGACAGACACAACATGCAGAATTATATATATATAATTACATATGATAAAAATATCTATTCTATTTCTATTTAATTATTAAATTATATTGTTGCAAATTTTAAATATAATTAATTTCATATATACTATATATATATATATATATCGCACATACACACATACAGTATACATATTAAATTTTTATTGTAAAATTAAAATAACTGTAACAGATTTTAGTTTTTTTTGTAATTTGAACAGTATTGTACTGTAATATGTACAGTATACTACTGTTAAATGTGCCAACAGTATAAAATAGCCAAGGATTATGGGAAAATTTGTGTTTACTACTGTAATTATTGTCTACTGTAAATCATAAAAAATCGAATTATGCAATAGGAAATCAATTCTGATACTGTAAATAAAAATACAGTTGTTGTACTCATGAATACAATATACACTATTATTCCTGTAAATTAAAATATAGTACTTGTACTGTAAAAGAAACAAAGTACTCATACTTTAAATATTAATACAGTATACAATTGTATTACTGTAAATGAAATTACAATACTGTAAACACTTTTACAGTAACCTTTTTACAGATACACATTTATAATTGTTGTCATATGATAATATCAAATTCATCTTACATAGACCTATCACAGAAATACTATTCACACTCGTTTAAATCTCATTACTTGACAAAAGCTACTTTAAACGCTATCTTTTAGCAATTAAATGTGATTTTATAGATTTGCTAACTAAACAATAGTGGAGTCAAAAATGAAACAGAAAGGACTGACGGGACACTTTATGACACAACAGCTAGTGTGTTGTATTCATCATAATAGCTGGTGTTGAATTGCTTCAGATGCGATGGAAACAAAACAATAGAAGCTCTTTACTATAGCAAACAAAGTCAGTTCCTGCAAGTAAGCAGTCAAAAGAATCGAGCATATACAATGCTAACAGATTTGCTGTGAATGTACCTAGAGCTCATCAAATCTCTCATTTTATAGAGAATGACTCGATAGCCCAGGATCAATGAGTCATGGAAGTCCATAACTATTCCCGGCTATTGTTTTCCATTACCGACACCTCATATCAGCCCAATGCACAACACAAGCCACCTCTAACACCTCTAAAGCACACTTTTTGGGAAATTGTAATGCACAAGCGAGATAAAGTAGAGTCATTTTCTCCGTTACAGCCCTGCTCAGTGCAGCATAGAAAACTGAAATGGGTTGTTTTGATGGTGTGGAAACTTCATTCCTCTAGCAGATTGTATTGTACAGCGGTACTGAGAGAGCCAACACTGCTTCCCATCTAGGGTAAAACACTCAGAGGTCTGCATTCGACAAAATTTAAATTAAGATATAAATTCACATTGTGAGATTAAGTCAAAACTGGAAGATATAAAGTCACAATTATTATTAAGTGGAAATGGGCTTCCATAACACAGAGAGGACGGAAAACAAAACTTTAAGATTTAGATGTTTACATCTAATGAAGCCTGTTTCCACTTCAGAGTAAAAAAAATAAAATAAAACTGGTAATTGTGGAAACAAGTTCAAAATAAAAAAGAAATAGTCAAAGAATTCTGTGAATAAGTCAACATTTTAAGAAATTTGATAGATTAGATTAGATAAATAGATCAACATGTGTCAACATGCAAACCAAATTGTGTAACTAAGAAGTTTAAAATGCTGGAAAAATTATAGTCAAATCAAACTAATAACTGTACCTATTTTTCTTCTGTTTATCTTCCTTGAGCTGCATATTGGCACACATTTTTCTCGTGGTCTCTTCTGAATGCTTTGACATTGCTAATGTTCACACCCAATGCCATAATTACACAAGAGAGACGCAACAGTAACCAGGAACTTGGACACACTTCAGTGACTGGTCAAGCTGACGTGTATGAGGCTGATCTTCCAGAGAAACACAAAATAGTTTATATAAAGTAATTTTTACTTGTTATTAGTATGGTTGAATTGGATCATCGAAGGTCAGCAGCAAATACATTGGTTAATAAAGGGAGATTAAATCTACAAAGTGCAATTATTTAGTATTTAATTATTGTGGGTTTGCACAATATTCTGAGATTGCATTTCATTTTTTATTCATTATCAACACCAAATCTGTTTTTGTGAGATGCCTGCTCACATTTAATCGAGATTACAATTACCATCATGTCCACACAACAGCTCTGCACTCACTCATGATTTCTGTCAACATGGAGACAGAAGAGGTGTCAGTCAATAAATGGGAAAACAAAGTAACTGCTTACTTATTTGAAAAGTAACTGATATGTTGATACTTTACTAGTTACTTGAAAAAAGTAATCTGATTACATAACTCAACAATTCTTGTATGCGGTATGCTTTTGTTTCACTAAAAAGAACCGGTTCCAAAGAATCCAAACTACTTGTGAAACGCGAAAAATTAGTGAGAGTTCAAGCCTTTATGTTATAATTTGATGATTATGTTATATTTTTGATGATTATGGCTTACAGCTATGAAAAACTTTTCAAAATGCTCTAATTTTGAATTTGGGGTTTTCATAAGATGTAAGCCATAATCATCAAATTAACAAATAAAGGCTTGAAATGCACTCACCTAAAGAATTATTAGGAACACCTGTTCAGTTTCTTATTAATGCAATTATCTAATCAACCCATCATATGGGAGTTGATCCAATGCATTTAGGGGTGTGGTCATGGTCAAGACAATCTCCTGAACTCCAAACTGAATGTCAGAATGGGAAAGAAAGGTGATTTAAGCAATTTTGAGCGTGGCATGGTTGTTGGTGTCAGATGGGCCGGTCTGAGCATTTCACAAAGAATGGTGTGAAAAGGGGAAATCATTCAGTATGCGGCAGTCCTGTGAGCGAAAACGCCTTGTTGATGCTAGAGGTCAGAGGAGAACGGGCCAACTGATTCAAGCTGATAGAAGAGCAACTTTGACTGAAATAACCACTTGTTACAACCGAGGTATGCAGCAAAGCATTTGTGAAGCCACAACACACACAAACTTGAGGCGGATGGGCTACAACAGCAAAGACCCCACCGGGTACCACTCATCTCCTCTACAAATAGGAAAAAGAGGCAACAATTTGCAAGAGCTCACCAAAACTGGACAGTTGAAGACTGGAAAAATGTTGGCTGGTCTTATGAGTCTCGATTTCTGTTCGACATTCAGATGGTAGAGTCAGAATTTGGCGCAAACAGAATGAGAACATGGATCCATCATGCCTTGTTACCACTGTGCAGGCTGGTGGTGGTGGTGGTGTAATTGTGTGGGCGATGTTTTCTTGGCACACTTTAGGCTCCTTTGTGCCAATTGGGCATTGTTTAAATGCCACGGCCTACCTGAGCATTGATTCTGATCATGTCCATCCCTTTATGGCCACCATGTACCCATCCTCTGATGGCTACTTCCAGAAGGATAATGCACCATGTCACAAAGCTCAAATCATTTCAAATTGGTTTCTTGAACATGACAATGAGTTCACTGTACTAAACGGCCCCCACAGTCACCAGATCTCAACCCAATAGAGCATCTTTGGGATGTGGTGGAACGGGAGCTTCGTGCATCCCCCAAATCTCCATCAACTGCAAGATGCTATCCTATCAATATGGGCCAACATTTCTAAAGAATGCTTTCAGCACCTTGTTGAATCAATGCCACGTAGAAATAAGGCAGTTCTGAAGGCGAAAGGGGGTCAAACACAGTATTAGTATGGTGTTCCTAATAATCCTTTTGGCGAGTGTATCTCACTTTGCATGTAATGAGTCTATATAATATATTAGTTTCACCTTTTAAGTTGAATTACTGAAATCAATGTTTTTGCACAATATTCTAATTTGTGTACTACCCTGTAAAAAATATAATACAAATAAGTACAATCAAATTGGATATTTGAGTCATTTCAACTGAAAAGACATTAAACCGACTTAAAAAAAATAGTTGAATCTTGTATAACCCAAACAAGTTTAAAATTGCTTGAAACATCTGAGAACTTTTTAGCTTTGAAATGGCAATATTTGAAATGTTTCTTTGGCGGTTTCTCTTTGGTCGTGCTGAATTAAGTCTTGTGCTGGAGCATCCTAAAAGGAACAGAGAAGCATGGTGACTGTGGGCTTCCCTGAGGCTGTCTGATCCATCTGGTCACTCAGGCATTCACGTACTTCCCTTTCCAAGTCTCCATGAGGGAAGCCCAGAGCAGGTCTGCTTTCTGCCAGCCAGCCTCAGATGCTCGAGTCAGAGAACAGCTGCTGCTGTGATGGCAGGAAAAAGCCAAGCGCCGCAGCAATAACTATTTGCTTTTACATTCATAGTGCACTTACTTTAAAACCAAATTGCAAATTAATAGTGCATAAGGAGACACTAACATATTTGACTCTGACAAAGACAATATAGTGATGAACTCAGTGGGCACATCAGTTTAGAGCACTTTTGGTAGGAGTGTTTGACTACTCTTGGATTGTGTAATGTATGGGCTTGGTTTTCCTCTTCCCATTCCAGGCTTCTGAAATATTTATGTCCATATGGACAGACTTAAGTGGTCCAAGGAGAGGGATCTAATGAAGGAACTGGCTTTATATCAAAGACTGGACTTCAAAATTATAAGTTATCTATCTCTCAAAATGGCCTTTCACAGATGCTAATGACTTTTAATTAAAGCCAAGCTAAAGTAGTGCTGTGCTGGCCAAATTCAACAGGTTTGCAGCTTCAATTAGTTGCGCTGTATGCTATAAGTCATTAAAACAAATCTGTTCACAATGATTTATTTGTTTATAAATCATACTAGATAAGAGTAATTTCTTTGTGAATAATACTTTTTGTTTCACTAAAAAGAACCATTTCTAAAGAGTCATTTGTTCATGAATCAAATTCCACTATGGAGTATTTGTTTCACTAAAAAGAATCAGTTCATATGACTCATCTGTTCATGAATCAAATTCCACTTAAATCTATTTGTTTGAGTAAAAAGAACCAGTTCATACGAGTCATTTGTTTGTGAATCAAATTCCACTATAATGTATTTCTTTAACTAAAAATGACCAGTTCATAAGAGTCATTTGTTTGTCAATCTGGCTAAATTGGTTGCGCTGTATGATATGGATTCACTAAAAAGAACCTATTCGTATGAGTTTTGTTTTCTTACCATTTCTTATTTCCCGGTGCACTGCCTTTTTATCCTATTTGGGCAGCAAACATGGGTGACATTTATCTTATTTTGCCACAGGACTGTAAAAGCGGTGAAGGAAACAGTACTGACATAGATCGATCGATCTTGGATTTATTATATAAAAAGCGTTTTAATGTTTCATGTGATCAAGCTGTGATTGTAACCTAGTTTAGGATCCAACATGACGCTCCGCTTGCTCACTTTCTCTTGAGAGAGAGCAAAAACACACACCACAAAGCATCTTTCAATCATCTTTTCAATAACAATTTACTTGTTCAAAGAATACATATATAATTCCAAGACATTAATTTCACTAATGATCTGTAAAATCAGTTTTAAACCAGTCTAGTATGATATTAGCGCACCGCATTCAAATAATAGTATCTAAAACAATACACTCATTTCATATTCAAAAGGCAACAGTTAAATTCTTTTGATTTATGATTTTAATATCATGTAAACAATTCTGGAATGTCAGCATCCTCTTCAATATAATGACGTTTGCATAAAGTTGTAGCTTCAGTAACCTGAATAGCACAATGATGAATTCAGTCCAATGCAAGAAATGCCTCCATTCAGAGTGCATTTATATTTATTCATACACTAATCGAATGGTTTTTGCAGCAAGGCATCTCTGATCAGAGGTAAACTGCATTTGCATTGATCTGCAAAAGGGCAAGACATATGAATCTCAAACATCATATAGATAGAATAGTCACAAGAAAGGTCAGATGGTGCAATAAAGACAAGGTGAGCATCTTCATTTTCCAGGAATTGCATTATTTTTCTCATCTCATGTGTTGTACTCATAAAAACAAAAAAGAAAACTAGGTCTCAGTATAAAAGATTTGGCAATGTGATTTTTCCCTGTACTCAAAAGAAACCAAACGTGCTTTGGAGCAAATGTACCGATGACAGAGGAAAATATACTTCCATTAGGGTTCTCTCTGGGTCAGTTGCTGAAGCGGTTAGATCTGTTCTTTTAGGTCTTTCTCTTTGGTCTTTCAGTCTCAAAATATGAATCTTATTGGTGTCTGTAGAAATAAAAGCATCATGTGTGGTCCCGTATACCTAAAAGCACCATGGTAGATTAGGAAAAGTCAACCTCTCCATTTTCTTCAGCCTCTGTCCTTTGAGAATGCAAGAACGACTCCCATACAGCCAAACACTGCAAGAAAACGCACACACACAAATTAAAATGAAAGCAATAAGCCATGTGAAGCAGTATAATACAGTAAATTGATTTAGGCAAGTCAGACACAACAACAAACTTTACCATAGACATGAACTCATGAACCGTACTTGCGAACGGTAGAAACTGCAAAGCGCAATATGGCGGAATACGTCCCGCCTTCTAAGTAAAAGAGCCAATCACTGATTGGTGTAGTCATCATGTCACTGCAGTTGCAATAGCAACAGTTAGTGTTCTGGGACTCGAGCTTAGGACTGCACATGTGCATTGACGGATCTAGCCTTAAAAACGTTTTTTTTTTTTTTTTTTATGCTATTTGAGCGTACGAAACATGGGTTTATGGGACATGTCAGATTTTTTTGCTGTTTTGAAATATGTTATTTAATTGTGAGTTCGGCAAATAATTTTCGAGATTTCAG